TTTCCCTAAATATAAGAGAAAAAGATCAACATCCAAGGCAGATATTGACATAGATGTACTATGTAAATGATTTGTTGTCTCTCATTTGTAAATTTGTAAATAATTTCGTTTAAGCAGACATATTTAATAGAAAAGACTTAGAATTTATGTAAAAATCTGACAAAAGGAAGGTCCTTCTGAGTTAATTATTTCAGCGTCCTTGTTAATTGTCAAAACCTTAAAGACAATAACACTTTATGAAACAAAAATGTCCAAATTTATTTCTATTCAGTCTATTTTAGACACATACTGATCTGAGTCGTTTAATTAAGTATCCATTTGAGTCTTCAGGTAATTTGGACCCTTTTTATATGTCTTAATTCATTCGTTTGTGTTATTTTGAATATGTATTCATTTTGCAGATCCAAGTAGAATATTACAGTTCAGTGTAACTGACGTTGAAAAGAAGGATACCTATTTCGAAGTCACTGAGAACGAAACCGTCCACTTTATCTGCAGTGTTGACAGTAATCCAGTATCGTCCATTTCGTTGTCGTTTAAAGAACAAGAATTGTGGCGTAATGTATCTAAAGGCTTGATTTATGCACATAGAGTCGAATCATGTTTTGATGATGGCGTTTATAAATGTTCAGCACATAACAAACACAATACTAATCCATCTACCAAAGAATTAACCTTACGTGTGAAATGTAAGTTATGCCTTTTTCTTGACGAAACTTACTTAATCATTATTTCAAGGTAGGTTTGTCACAATGAGTATGTTTTGTTTTCTAAAGTTTAAGTGTTGATAAATACAAAATATATTTATCTTTTGTCGAAGAGTTATTGTAAAACAAAATTAAACTATATCCTTAATATTTGTAATTATCTGCAAATCCGCCTTGAAATCGTCAGGCTATATCATATTTTTAGTTTATGTTTTAAATTACTACTATTCGGTCATTGATAATTTCATCTCCTACATTAAAACTAAAATAGTACTCATTTTACTTAATTTAGACATTTCTAATAACGTCACAAGTGTTGTGTGTCACTATAGAAAACATAACTCTTTACGTTCATGTTCTTTCTTGTGATTCGTAAAGCTTTACTTTTCTGATATTTCAGGTTCACCTCTGTTATCACCAGAGTTTGATATGAAAACAAACATTACGGGTGCACAAAATGTGACTGTTACTTTTCAATTCAAATCTATCGCCCATCCAGAACCGGAATTTGAATGGTTTAAACTTACCGACTCATCCTTGGAGGCATTACATGATGACAAGAAAAAATTCGAAATCACAACACAGGGACTATACTCCAAACTCACTATACGCGACATAACAGAGGAGGATTACGGGCGGTACAAGTTAAAGATATACAACACAATGGGCACTTTGGAACAATTTTATTTCTTAAAAGCAAACGGTAAATATCAAAAATGTTATATTGAAATTTGAATATCTTGATTACAACATATTGAGTTCAGTCATAGCTGAAACCCTCTACACAGAACGGCTTTTTGGCCTTTTGAAAGTTATTTGGAAAAAAATATATCTGAATAAATTCGGTTTTTGATTGGGATAATTTCCCTTATAATATAGGATGATGACTAAGTATATATTGATATATGGAAGCATGTATTTGTCGACTATATTTAACTCTCTTTTTTCTTTCCTGATTGATTGATTGATTGATAATTTGACAAGTGGCAGTGTCTTAGTTCTTATTAAACAAATATTATTGATAAACACTTCTATTTATATGTTTACCAGGAAAGCCTGATACGCCAACGTCGTTCAAATATTTAGCTGTGGATATCGCAAGAACGTCAATAATCCTTCAATGGAAACCTGGCTTTAATGGTGGCCCTGAACAGACGTTTATTTTGAGATACAAAGTTGAACCAGAAAGCAATTGGACGACAGTGCGTATACCTGATGACGATGGGAAGATCATGAACTACACTATTAGTGACTTGATAAGTGATTCAGTGTATTTCTCGGAATTGTTTTCAGAGAATTCTGAGGGGCAATCGATGATACTGAACATGACATTTAATACAACAGGTATGTGAAATTGAAGAAATATATTTTAAATAATGATACTCGGTCGAACTAAAACTGGTTTATTTGCATATCGTATCTTAAGAAACGTGGAAATAGAATCAAGAGGATTATCCTTTTGAGCCTATTTTTGAATTTTACGTTTATTTTTTTAAAATGTTGAAGTCATATGCATATGTTGGCACATACAAAGTATTTCAAATAGAAATAAAATGTGAAGTCTGAAGTAATTCTATTTAGTGTTAAGAAACAAACATTTATTATAAACAAACCATTCAATCGTTAGCAGTTATTTAAATACTTTATGAATATGTAAAATACATTAGAATTATAATTTTGTATCCATTTAACATAAAAAAAGATAATACCGGATAAGTTCGTTTGTGTGCTTATCGCTATTTTCATGCGCATGAGTAAACGGAATCGTTGGGTGGTTTCATTACTGTTTGACAACATTGATTACTCGTTCAAGCAGCGTAAATAATCTGTAGGCGGATGCAGGACAATATAGAATATAGATATTTTGTTGTTTGTCCCCCGTCATGGTTCGCCTTTTCCTTTAACAACAACTCCTTCTGAACCACTTTGTTGAATTTAACCAAGGTTCACAGGAATTATCCTAAAGTGATCCATGACAAATCTGCCAATGGTTCAAGTCTTAAGCATAGAAATAGAAAAAGCAGCTAGAAATATATCTTAAAAGTACAGTCTTTTAATAGGTATTCTACTGGTCAATATTACTCTATAATATTACAACCATTGCCAGTGACTTTCATAGCAACCATCAGAATCAACGAGCGACATGACATTCTATAACATCCATTGACTTTCATTTCATAGCAACTACTGTACCTCCATAGCTTCAGTTACTTAAAGATCAAACCTTTTCATAGAAATGATCGACATTTTAGCAACCATTAATTGTCATAGCAGCCATTGACTTTCATGGCAAAAATTTACTTTTTAATGATTTCTATAAATCCAGTGACTTCCATATCTACAATTGATAATACAATTGACAGTGACCAGTGACCTTTTACTTGTTCACTATTTCAGAGCATAATTGAACTTTGATACCAGTTGGCCTAATATCTGGTTCTCGTAAATGGTAATATTAATTTTCCTTTTCATCTAGAGCCTTCAGAGTCAGGAGAGCAATTCAAGAATCATCATCTCCATCTCGTTTAATTGTCAACCGAGTTGCCGTTATATTTTGTCACGGAAGTAAATGAAATTAGTTTTACTTTCATTATGACAATGGCAATTCTTTAAACGATGAACATGTATCTACTATTGTCAATCTAGATGTTTGACAAAAGTTTAAACAATGAATGCTTTAATCAAACGGACGGAAGTCAAGTCATTTTTTTAACCTTTTTTTTTTGAAAAATTTAGTTTTTATTTATAGATGATTTGTAAAAAATTTGTAATAAATAATGTCTTTAATCCCCCCCCCCCCCACCTCCTTTCATTGATTTCTTATTAAAGAATTTTTATTCTTTTCAGCAAGTAATGACAAAATATTTCACAAAGTTAAAAGAAAAATAAATGGAAATTTAAAAAGTAAGTTTGTCGGGACCCTAAAATTTATCAAAAAGAAAAATAATTTTTCCTTTTAAATTTTATAAATTTTTAATTTTGATTAAGAAAAAACCATAAAATTTAATTTGTAAAATTTCAACATGGTTTGGGGTAATCTCTTTTTCCTTGACCATTTATAAAACTTTTTGCTTAATGCTTAATACATTCTTTTTTAAAATACGGGGCTAATTGCAAAATCATCCTCGCTAAGGTTTTGGGTTTAATATAAATTTTAATTTCTTTAAACTGTCAAAATTCTCTATGACTAATAAAGCCTGTATTAAAGGAAAATCTTTTTATTGGGGGGGGTTAAAACCTGTTTTTCCCTTTGGGAAAAAATTTCCCCCCAAATTTAAAATTTTTAAAAATTGACTGGAGTACTTTTAAGTAAAAGGTTTTCCAATCAAAAATAAAATTGAATTATATTAAAGTTTTAATAAAATTGTGTTGTTATAAAATGTGTTTTGGTTTTGTTTTTTTTATATTTGATTTAAAAAATTTATGAACACGAACTTTTGTGAGACTTAATTTCTTATGGCGGGGAGTTTAGCAGTTTCTTTTGTTGAACATTTCATTTTAAAAGGGGATTTTTTGTCATTTTTACATTGTAATTGTATAACAAAATTATTTTCTTTTTGAAGAAAAATTTATTTCACATTTATCGTTTTTAAAAAATTTATTTCTAATTATTAACATTAATTACTTTTTTTATCAAAAAAATGCTATAAAAAAGTAATTTAAAGTTAATTTTTCTTACAAACTTGGGTCTTTTCAGAATGCAAATAAACGAAAACAACAGGGTTTTATTTTTGATTTTAAAAAAAAAATCGCAAATTTTTTTAAACATTTTTCGTATCCTGTATAAATTTCTATAACAGGCAACAACCTTTTTTTTTTTTTGACATCAGTCACGGATGTCTCCCTGCCCTTTGTAGTTTTTTAAACTGAAATTTGGTTTTTTGCAGTCAAACAAAATTATTGTGTGCAATACTGCATTTGAAATATCCATCTGATGAAACTGGATAATTTATCTTTGTTTCATGAAATAGTTCTTATTATTCTTCCGAGAAATACACCTCGTAATTCTTTCAAAGTTCACTTTTTTATCATCACATTATGTGAACATTTGGAATGCCTCTTATACAATGTACCTGTAATGACTGATTCGGATATTGTTTTGGTAAGACAAAGGCAACACATTGTTCCCATTTTGTGCAAGAAACCAATGCCCTTAGTCAACAGGATGTGGTCAATGTTACTTTAGGTTTACTAGAAAAAAGTATTTTCCAATTTAATGTTTTATAACAAATGACTAAGAAGTATATCTTTATCGCCCACTGTCGATTATTTTATGCCTTTGATTTTAGAAGGAAGAAACAGTCCACGCTGAAAGTTATTTATCAAAATGTGCCTCCGTGTGTTCCCAATACGGAAAATATATATCAAAATATGCCGAGTTGCAGTAAGTTATTGTTTAAACAAATACGTTTTATGGTTACAAATTAGTCATAACAGCATTCTCATTTAATTAATAATTTATTTTGAAAACAATGTAACAACAGTAGATAATATTTAATCAGTCAGTAAAAATCTTCCTCCAATTATACCGTAAAAGCGCAAGTAAAATTTGGTTAAACATGCTTCTCTTCATTTAACCTTTTTCTGAATCTCAAATTATATTGAAGAAAACAAAACATATCCGTAAACTGTTTAAAGGTGCTAGTTAAAAGATTGTGATTTATTTGTATAATCACTGTAGGTATAAAAGAAACGAATAAATGTCAAAAAGCAATTCATTCAAGGAAAGCAGCGGTTCGAGATTTCCAAGAGGTGAATGTAGAGCCAGAAGATGAAGAATATGCTGATGATCTAGAAGAGCTTGATGAACTCATCCCGGAACAAACGGAATATATCAACTCATTAGATCTTATAGATAAACTAGTAAAAATAAAAGTATCTGAACTTTTTGATTACGTAAAGGATCGGACGGATGAAGCATTTAGTTATGACTTTCAGGTATTTAAAAGCGGTTCAATGTTACATAATTGCAGTTTCGTTTTCGTAAACAAGAAAGTATAACCCTATAACTTTTCGAGTTATTATGAGCCTTTTATATCCATGTGAACTGATTAGCATTATCATCTTAAATTTTGGTGCACCAATGTTGTAGCTAGTTTCTATATTTCATATCATCTAAACTGTACATTTTTTCAGAGCATTCCTACCGCTTTCCAGATGCCTTGTTTATTTGCACGCAGTCCTGAAAACAAAACGTCAAATAGATACAAGGGCATTATGCCGTGTATGTATTATATATACATTTATATTTTCAGTGCTACAATGTCTATTAATCTTTAATAGAATATACAAAAATTGTAATATTATTTTATGGAGATGTCTAGTTATCATTAGACTTATGTTCCAGTAAAGTTGATTAAGTTTTAGTTATTACTGTTTCTGAATTATATTCTCTTCTAACTCTTTACATAACTCTACAAAATTTCAATTAAAATAAAAATGTTCATATATTCTTCAATGAATACTATTTTATGATATGCTGAATCTAATAAATAATTGCATTGTCGTCTTTGTAAAGAATGAAATTTATCCGTAAAGTTAATAACTGCTCCGCTTCGTCCATATTCTCTTCGGTAGCACTACTTCATATTTCCAGCACAGTTGTATAAAATCATGTTTGGAAAAGGGTCTGTATTCACAGTTTATGTCAGCTTTGTTTAAATTCATCTCAAGCTTTGTTTTAATACATAAAATTATCTTTTAAAACCTCTCTTGCCGTTACAATAGCAGCAATAATTTTCATCTGAAAGACCATCAAATACTGCAGCTCATTTTTTGTAATTTCAAACTTGCTTTTAAATTAAAATAATTTTATTTTAAAGTAATTGGAAAATCATTCTAAACTTTCCGGAGTTCAGTTTCAATAATTCCATTATAAAAGCTACTAGGTATGTGACATGAGGGTAAAGCGTAGATTAAAATGTCCATATTGTCAATCTTTATTTAACGAGTTCATCAATTTAGATATCCATCCGTTTTTAAACCATTTAATAAGCATTTTAATAATAAGTTTAGATGAAAAGCTATCGCTAGAGCTATGGCAACAGAAACACATGCTTGAAAATCGCAAACTTTGTTGTATTGAGGTTGTTCAGAAAAGAGACATCTCCCATGCCCGCTGGCACTTGCTAAAGCTATATTCAGTCCAAGCTTATTCACAATATCATTTCCAAAAGTAACTATCATTCACACCCAATGGAATAATACCAGCATTATCTTTAAAACTCTGCACTTGAGAAAGTATGACATATGTAGAACATTTTATTCAGTAGCAATGGAGTTTCAGATGTTTCAACATTAATTTTTATTCTTTTCAATTCTTTCAGATGATCACTCGAGAGTTCAAATTGATGGTCAACCAGATTTTTACATAAATGCATCATATATTGACGTATGTTTTAGCAATATTTTGTGATGTCGGTTTTAATATGAAGACTTTGATGTGAATGGCTAAAGACTGCTGCGTTCAAACCATTGTTGCCGCGAGCAAGAAAATTTACAATTATTCTTAAGCATGGTTTGGTTCCAGGAACGGATTCGAGAGTGTTTCAATAAGCCTTTACTTTCGAACACAATCGAACTAAAATAATTTCTGTTTAAACTAATATAAATGCTTGTAAGTTAATAAATTAACTGATTTTATCAAGAATTGCAGTGCACTATATTAAATATTGCCTATACTAGTCTGATGTATCCAAATGAACATAATGAATTGTTTTAAATTTATTTCAGGGATACAAAAGGCAGAAAGCGTACATAGCCTGTTTAGGTATTTTTAATTTTGTTATGTTATATACTTATTTATTTAATCCAAATTTGTGGCATCTTTGATCATAAAAAACATTAAATAAGCGACTTTTAGTGGAACATCCAATGTCTAATGAAATATTTGATAATATCTTTACATATCTAAGAAGTACATTTGTACATATAATTATTATCTATTCAGACATATTGAAAAGAGCAAGGTTTTGAGAATTTACATGGTTAACATATATCTTACGTTTTCATGCATTGTATTTAAGGTATAAAGGGCTAATTAACCTTTCCCTGAGAAGCCAGCGTAACGTTGTATTATAGTTTGGAGACCTTTCTATAGAAAATGTATCAGAATTAAATCGTATACCCTTATATGCACAGTGTGTTAACTGGAGTGCAGCACTCTATAGTGTTACCCTGATGTCTGTCGGGGACAATAATGGAGCATGCTCCATGAATGGCAAATTACGCGTCGGGGCTCTTTCTATTACATACCACATTTGTCGCAATTTGTCTGTTTGGTTTTTTAGAGGTAATAATTTATTATGTCAATAACATGATGAAGCACTGTATAAAATTTTAAAATATAATAGAAATGTCTTTATATTTCAGGTCCTACAGCAGCAACACACGATAACTTTAAGACTTTCTGGAAAATGGTTTGGCACAAGAAAGTAGAGATTATCGTGATGGTTACAAATTTGAATGAACCATCTGTATGTCTGTTTTTTACTAGATCTAAACCATATTTCTGTTGTTTCCAATCATGTTAAATTTTGACTATATAACATTATTTTTAAGACGTTATTGCATTATACGTAAATGAGAATTTTGTTTGACATAAAAAGCATATAATTATCTCTATTATATGCGGATGCAATCTTAAACTTTTTATAAAAGTATCCCCATATATATCCTCATACATTTTAAGGGTATGAAATGCGAGCAGTATTGGCCAGATGTCAGTCAAGATGAGGACTATGGTGATGTACATGTTTCCTGCCAAAATATACAAATCTTCGCAGATTACACATTAAGAACCTTTAAAGTAATAAACAATACAGAAAAGGTATGATAATATCGATATAGAAATCTGGCTACCTTCTTATGAAGGTCATTGGTTTGATTTAAGTAATATTATAGATTCCATTTAACATGAAGAGGTTTTTTGGGGGTTTTTTAATTGCGTCCAGAGGATTTAAAGTACTTTAGCTACACGTAAATTAACATTTATCTTTAAACAACTTACACAAATTATTGTGTTAGTCATCAAATCATAATTTAGTACGCAGATATACGAATTAAACATATAAAGTTCTCTTCTCGCCATTAATATTGGATCAATCAATCATATTTAAGTTTTATTTTGAATGTTTTATCCAGTACAAACTGTATTATTATGTTGAATATTTAAGGGTGATGTTTGCAGACGTTTAGTTCATCTTCATTACACCTCGTGGCCGGACAAAAAGACACCAGAGGATGTTATAAGTCTTTTGGAGTTCAGACAAAAATACAGAGATGTAAAAACGAGCTTAAATGGTCCTATCATCGTACACTGCAGGTATATTGTATTTATTTGTTGCTGTGTTTTGTTTTAATTTTTTTCACAACAAAAATTTAAAAACAAAAGCCATTGACATATGTAAGAAATTTGAAATTCCACCAATTGTATATTTTAATTGAAATATGCTGACAATATGTACCAGAGGGCATTTGATGACGATGCTGCCGTAAAATATGAACATTGAAAACCTGGGTTCGTCGCATTGCGTCGTTTCTTTTTTTCAAGATAATTAAGAAATAAAAATGTATTGAGTTCAGTTTATCCAAGAATATACAAAACAAATCGGTTATATAGAAAAATATAATAAATTTATGGAGTAAAATAAATTAATGGAGTAACTAATTATATCGCCTAGGGAAGTAATTTAATTATGTTATGTATCTACCTTATATAAGGCAAACCGTGAAAGTTCAACGTTATTTCTATATTTTAGAAAACATTGTTTATTTGAAGTAAACTTGTTTCTGGTACATTGCTAAAGATAACATTATAAAAATTAATAGCAAAAGAGGGAATTGAGCTCATATCATTTATAAAGGGTGAAAATGACTAATCATCAAAAATAACATAACTTGTTATACATATATAACTGGCCGGATGAACAGTAAGATAATACATTATTTTCACGATGATTTAGTAAATTCAATGTTTTTATACAATATATTCGACAGAAGAAGGTGTCAAAGGCATCAAGTAAAGTCTTGGATTTTGATCAATAGTCTAAGAAAACCAAATTACACTATTACATCCAAGAGATGACAATGTTGAATGAGTTTACTTTAAATGTAAAATCAGTCAATTGAAGACCTTTTTCAATGTAAAACAGCTTGAATGAAATTGATGTAAAAGTAACAAAACAGTCAACATAGATCGTAAAACTTATCAGTCCTAGAGCAACCATTTGCTAACATCTTATTCAAAATGTGTACAGTAAAGTGCATTCGGATGTTTACCTCCTTTGGTTTGAGATAAAAAGAGTCGGTGGCTAAGTAGAATGACATCTTAAAACACTATGGATTCTGATTAAACAACTATACTTTAACCTTTTGTATTTTTAGTATATTATTACATGCAGCTACAGTAACTTTGGCCAGGCTTAACCGATATTATATATTTTTATATATTATATATTTGATATTTTTTATTTGAATTGTGTACAAGTAGTTAAAATATGCTTTGTGTTTTGATAAGCAAGATATTTTCAATGATTTCATAATTTTGTCTTCTATAAATACAAATCATTATTATTCATCCATTTCATAGTGCCGGTATTGGACGTACAGGAGTATTTATAGCTGTTGACAGGCTCATAATGGAGGGAAATCGTGAAGGAACTGTAAATGTCCCTGCATGTCTCAATAAAATGAGAGAACAACGAGTGAAAATGGTCCAAACTAGCGTATGTTGAATTAACCTAACATTACAGTTAACAAAAAAAAAACAAATTTGTATATAATTTTGATGTAAGTTCTATAACTTTGATAACACTATAGGATTAACGCACGTTTTTCCGTGTTATAACGCCTGCAGAGTCCCGAGGAACGGTTGGTGCCCGAGCCCGGTAGGACGAGGGCTACAACAGTTCCGAGGGACTCTGCAGACTTTATAACACGAAATAAACGTGCGTTGACGCTATTATAGCATAAAATTTTAAAACAGAGTCATGATGCATGTTTAATACAAAGCACATACATCAAATCCTTGTGCTTGGACGGTATTTATCCAACTCTACAGGTTTTGCGTATGCGTTTTATTTTTCCGGGGCCAACAACTGCTCAGAACCGAAAGAAATTTCAAATTTAAATTGATTGATTAAAGCTTAACATTGGAGATATATTAACTCAAGAAAAAACATAAAATTACACTACCCAAGACAAAACATGACCCTAGAATGATTTCAGATTGTTGGTTACTTGGTAAAAAAAGATCATTGACATCAGAATCATAGGTTCTCGGTTCCAAAACCTTCTATGATTTTAATTTATTTTAAAAATAAATTCATATCATGTATATAAAATACTACAAGGTTTCGCAGCCGCCATGTTTTAACGCAACGGAAGTACGTTGACTGGTGTACAATTTTCATTAAAAAACACTAGTTCCCGATTCGATGAAGTTCCCGATTCGATGAATAGAGACTATTGGCTAATACGGGTACCACAATTATTGACTATTTCGCCGTGGTACCCGCATCAACAATATGCTTTAATATGTGACTCGGGAGCCAGTATTTTTTTTTTAAATTGTACACCAGTCAATGCACTTCCGTTGCGATAAAACATGGCGGCTGCGAAACCTTGTAGTATACATTATATGAATTTTTCTTTTTAAATAGATTAAAATCATAGGTTTTGGAACCGAGTGCCTATGATCAGAATCGGTATTTTTATTTTACAAAAAAAATCAGGCATTAAACATTATTCTTTCAAAGAAATTCAAAGAGCATTTATCAATATGAACATTAATAAAACAACATTTTTTCATATTTATTTTGTGTTATCTTGTTTTGTAAATTAATCAGTTAATCGGAGGGTTAAACTGAATGACAGATATTTAATTGTTTACATTGACAACTGTCCGTTTCTTAGAAAGGGCGACAACTAAGATTATAGCGACGATGTCTATACGCCGTATTACCGGCATAGTTACTTGAATGCTGCTCGACTGAGGCCCTCGAAAGACTCTTTGGCAAACAGGCCAAACCGTCAAATTTAGTTTGTTTACTGGGACCTGTATGTATTGCGCATAGGTAAAACCGTGCTATAACAAGAGCGCGTGACTATGTTAACACATGGTTTTGGTCCCGTTATAACATGGGCTAAAGAGGGAAAAATAGCCGATTTTATGCTATAATAGTTTATATCATGTTTATAAACATTATAAATATAACAGTTTCGTACCTAGCCTAACACAAATACCATGGCAATCTTAAGATGTTTATAACGCGTAAATCTTTATTTTTTTTAATGTTGTTTTTATTTTTGTTGTCCTGTTATAGTTTCTTAAAAGTTTCTCATTGGCCAATGACCTGAACTATCCTTTTCCTCTGATGCTTTTTTGCAATAAGTGCATATAGTGATGGGAGGATAAAAACTACTTTGTTTATATTTTGCTACATTATATCAATCAAAAACTATCACATTCTGCGGTGCTTTCAGTAAATGATAACCATCTAACGTCCTCTGTCCAGTATTGCCCTTTCTAAAGAAAGAAAAAATTACATATTTGTGAAGCATAATGTGACTTTAAGATGACGAATTCATTCTGAATCTGTTGCGTCATTTCAATGGAATTACAACATTTATATTTTATAGTATTTTCATAATTGTCGCTGTTATGTTACAAATATGTAAATTTGCTTTGCAAATCGAATCGTTTCAGGAACAGTATAAGTTCATATTCAAAGCATTGGTTTACGCTCTTTGTCTCAACTGTGAGCTGATACCAATAGAGAACATTGAAGAACACGTTAACGATACTGATGAAAATTCGATGAACAGACAGTATAAGGTTTGATCACTGTGAAGAGATTAACAATTCATTAAAGATATTATATAACTAATCAGAGTGTTCACTGAGAATCAGTAATTTGTTCAAGATTTTAGTTTGTTTGTTTGTTTGTTTGTTTGTTTGTTTAATTGGGCTTTACTTCACACCGACACAGTATATGTCATATGGCGACGTTCCAGCTTTACTGGCGGAGGAAGACCTCAGGTGCCATTCCGTGCATTATTTCAGGCACGAACGGGCACTTGAGTAGAACCGCCGACGTTCCGTAAGCTAGCTGGATAGCTTTCTCATATGAAAGAATCCAAAGTCCCTGTCGGGATTCGAACCCACAGAGGTGAGGGGCAAGTGGTAAGATTTTAGTTAGTTTATCAGGCTTCATGCATGCAATGAAACAAGAAGTGGGAAAATTAGTTTACATTTCGATCAGGTATGTTGATATGTATGTGCACTTATATATGTATGCGCATGTATATATTGCTATATTTTTAGGTATAAAGCGGTAACATTTTACAATGCATAATCTATCTTCTTTTAGAGCCATAGTGGCGGCGTGCCCGAGTGCTTAACGCCTCGGACTAGTTATCTAGGATTGTTTACCGCGTGGGACACGGAACGGATTCGAGTGTGTTTCAATAAGCTTATTCTTTTCAACACAATCAAAATAGAATAAATTAGTCTGAAATAAGAACAGTTAAGTTCTTTGCAACAACTTGATCACGTGCTGTGTTTATCTTTATTTACAAACACAAACAAACAAACAAATGATTTTAAATATTTCTGTAAATAATGCCATTATTTTGATATAATTTTGATTCTTTAAGGAACTAGAATTTTCCCTAGAAAGAAACGTCATGGATGACATGAATTCCGAGTCGGAATATGAAAACTTGACGGACAAAGGTAGACCTGGAGCAGATATACTAGGTAATTCTTACTTTTTTTAAAGAAAAACATATTTTTGAACATATTCCATTTATAATAAAAACTTGCTATCATAGTATCAAATTGAAATATTTTTTAAGAACAATAAATAAGTTTGAATATTTTGTCCTGCGGTACCGATCATACACAGTATATACAGTATATCTTACCAGATTACTGCTGAAATGTTAACATAGGACGGGAGCATTTCATGGTCAATTTTCTTTCTTTGATGGACATTATATAAGAAAGCGGAAATTAAGGAAAAATCATAGTTAACTTTACATTATTCAAGACTTATATATTGACATGTACATCGACACCCCTACGATGGTAAGGTAAAAGTCCCTAACGGGTATCACTTACATTTACGCTAAAATAGACCTGTTATGTCAATCATTTGTAGAAATCTTATTTCATTTTATTTAATCAATTATCGACATCCATGATAATATTGAATGTTCATAATAATGTCAGGATGATTACTTTTATAAAGTATTGGAAATATTGTCATAAGTTTATCATGATATATTTTCAGACAACCCAAATCGAGTGTGTTTGTATCTCAACAGAGCGTTTAAAGACACGGATTTTATCAATGCTGTCTATGTTCATGTAACGTTCGGAATTTGTCTTCATTTATTTGCATGTACCTGTTTAGTGGCATTATGCTCATATTTTCATAGTCAAGTAGAGCTGAATTTACTTTATATTTCAAAAGATTGACTGTCAAAATGGTGTTTGACAAACAGTTGATATTGAAAAATGTTTAGGATAAAATTATACATCTGCCTAAAATTTAAAAAGACTGCCCCACTCTTTTTATAAACTGAGCATTATAGGTAAATTTAATGGATCTATACAGAAATTTCATCTGGATCTGTGTGTTATTTATTGTTTATGCGAACTTAATTATTAAATTGAAAGCATTTATGGCAAAATGAAAACTTATTTTGATCTTCACTCGTTCACTCACTATATACCCTTGGATGGGCATAATGTCACTTTAAACTAGACGGATTTAATAACATGCATGCCTTTTCTGTTTAATCAAATATTTTATACCTGCAATAAATTAAGTCAATTTATTTTATCTTCTGAATGTATTATAAATACGTTTGTGAGCTTGTATAACCAAAATATTACGTTGTAATATATCTGGTATACGTTATTTTAATGACACAATAAGCAGCTTAAAGATTAAAGTAGCATTATAAAGAATTGTTTCTCTCAAATTATTAATTTCATATCTTTCTGTTTTAAGTTCCCCATTTGATCTGTTACAAATTTATGTTTTTAAACTTTTTAAACTCAGTATAGTAATAGTTCCTTTAACGTGCTGTGTAACACAGCACTTTGGGGTCCAACGCACTTTGTGGTCCATGTTGGACAACAAAGGGCGTTATACAGATACATAATTATGTACTTTTGTTAACATTAGACAAACGACCGCACTTTGGAGTCATAACAATTCAATCAGTAAAAATTTCATGGTGTTTTAAGTAATATCCCTCAGTCAAAACCTTGTTAAATGTAACAGTTAAAAATGATTATATATTAATATTCAATTGTGTCTCAAAGAATAAGGCTACAAAGTAACACATATAAAGATGATTGATGTGTATTGAGTGATATGATAACATAGCATTTGAGCATAGCCAATATTTTTCTCACATTTTCCATTTATTTTAAAAGAATGTACACATTTCATTGTTGTAGCTAATTGCATTTTTTCCGCTTTTTATTTAAACATTTTTAAACATGATAGTCTAAGCATAGACAATGTAAAAAATTATAGGCAGTCTTAATAAGACATTTCCGTAAAATGTGTGCATGATTATCTGTTGAAATGGCCATTTATTCAGTTTATCTTAATGTTACATGTGAGAAACTTTTACTTTAGTGTAGATACGGCCTTTCACAAATATCATTTACTATTTAAGTAGTCATACATTAATACATTAACAGCAGAACTTCATAATAATGTAAAGTTCTCACTGGGAGTTCTAGAGGGGCCGATGGGGTGTCGACCTCTCACCCCCCCCCCCCCCCAACGAGATTATAAAATTAACATTTTTTAAGGCCCATTATGCCTTTATTTGTATTTCTCATAAGCTTTTAATTTTTATTAGTTCTACATTAGAATTTAAATGGCATTTAGTTAGATTGGTGTATTTAAGTATCGACCGTCATATTGAACGCCACCTCAAATATTTCAATGTCGCAGATCGAAAAAAAGGTCAGTACTCAGTATTTAAAGAAGAACTCGGTTTACACCTTCTGAACTCTGGAACCCAAAGTGCGTTGATATGTTGCAAATCAACGCACTTAGGCGTCAATTTTTCGATTTTGACTCCAAAGTGCGATGGACCAAAAAGGTTCATAAGAGCCTATGCTTCCAGATATTCATACTTCAGTTGCATGTATTTGAAGCGTATAAAGAAATATAAACTTACTCTTTGTGTAATCAAAATTCCCTTGTTGCTTCAATTTGTTGTGTTCATTGAGGGAAATATTTATCGAACTAATATTTACATTTTACTCATCATAATTTCCAATAGAGCTACAAATGGAAAGATCATTTCATCATGGCCCAATCACCTCTTCCTGCCTCGGTAACTGACTTTGTGACGATGATTTATCAAGAAAACTGTTCCTGTATAGTGTCAATGGATGACATTAATGAGTCTGGAACGGTATCTATATATTATAATACATAACTTTTTGTAGTTTTGTTTGTCATAAAATATTGTATAGGTAAAATAATGATAAATTTTTCATTTAATAAGTACTATTTTTCTAACTTATCATTTTTAATTGAAGAGTGCTAAAATCAACTACATAATGGATGTTAAACATTTTAAAGTAATTTCATGAAATTAAAATATCCTTTTTTATGTCATTGAAGTATTGAATTACACCTTTTACAGCAAATAACAAATATCTGCCTACTTCAAACTATTCTATTTGAATGGAAAAAAAACCTATATTTTTAAGGTGGTCAACAAGTATCTTCCTGCAGAAAATGAGTCATTAGAAAAAGGTGGTTTCATAGTTTCGTGTTTTGCCTTCGACACCAAACCACATTACACTGTTCGAAAAGTGACCATAAAAAATAAAGAGGTATTTATATCCATTTTGCAAATATAACATATTCAACAAAAAAGACAAAAGAATTATGCTCCTATTTGTGTCTTTTTGTTTAATCTCAACAGTAGATTCTAAAATGTGTAAACTGTAAGATTTTATTACAAAACATAATCGTGTAATGCTATAGTGGGGTTACTTTCAATTTATTTTCAGATAAGATTCCCTAAAGCATCATTGTTTATGGTATACGATTGATTGTTATTTAATCAAACACTACATGATTTTTAAGTGGTAACCGTGGCCTAGTGGTTCTGGTCGTTGAATTCAAACCACAGTGCTGTGTGTTTGAATCCCGAATTTAGATTATTCAGGTGTCCGTGCGTGCCTTAGATAATGCACTGAAGGGCACTTGAGGTCTTCCTCCACTAGAAAGGCTGGAACATCGCCATATGACCTATACTGTGCCGTTGCGACGTTCAACCCAATCAAACAAACAAACTATATTCTTTATCTGCGAAAAAACAATGACAATATTTTATTGTTTTAGAATTCAAATGACGAGCGGGATTATTATCATTTTCAATACAAGAAATGGACAGCTGGGATAGATGTTCCTGTAAGAGCTGAAGACTTTGTGGATTTTGTAAAAGATGTCGAGGAATATGCCACACTTAGTAAAGAAAATGCACATGTCCTGGTCCATTGCTTGTAAGATGACTTCTTATGCAATTTTCATAAAACAGGTGTTCTAATGTTAGTTATAGCAATTAAAAACAAACTAAAATCCAGACAGATGCATTTAGCGAGTTTAGTTGCATGACTTCCATCATTTACACAATTCTTGAATACATAAAGTTAAGATAAAGTTTTACCTGTGTATGTTTTCTCATAGGTCAGAAAACTACTGCTCATTTCAAAATGCATTGGTCCTGAAAAATTAAGGCGTCATTTGTGACGTTTCGTCTTTTTACAGAAACGGCAATAAACGGAGTGGAATATTTTGCGCCGTTGCAATTATAATGGAAAAACTTCTGTATGATCAGCAAGTCAGTGTGATGAATACTTTAAGACAGTTAAAAAAGAGGAGACCATATGCAATAACTGGAATGGTAAAATAAAATAATTATAATCACATCTTACACTTATCACGTATTAATTGTAATAGATCAGGTCTTATATGTGGATTGATCTTCAGTGGGCATATTTTCTATAAGTATTTCAAATGTAGATAAAAACTCCGAGGTATGACCAAAAATGTATTTTTATCGGCGTTAACATCCAGACAAGCAAACTTATTTTAACTTACTAAATAGATTTTTAAGTACAAAAGTTATTTTGTGTTGTTTTTTTCCAGATGTAATAGTATAATCAACATGTTTTATTTATAATAGTTTATTACAATTATACATTTATATTATTATACCTATTAAATTTAATTCCATTTAATTTACTGGCTACAATTTATACTATTTTTAGCATAATTAAGAATGTTTATAGAAGGAGCATTTTATAAAGCATAATAATTATCAAACATATGAAGATATTATTATTATTATTATTATTATTATTATTATTATTATTATTAATTATATCTATTTATTTTGTTTATATGCTTTATGTTAACAGGAGCAGATGATGTTTTGCTACCAAGCTGCACGAGCCATTGTTCAAATGCACAGAAAGAACTGCATACGCTATGATCATCTGTTATAATCCAAAATATGAACAGAGTAATAACCAACTTTCTAAGTTTCCTAGTCTATTTGTATATCTCAGTTTATATATAGTATTTGTTTATCTCAGTTTATATAAATATATATAACACAAAGAAAGAAATCCAGAAAAAGTGTAAATATTGAAATGTGTCTAAAGAAAACAATATTCATCATGTGTGTAGATAAATTTGTTTATTGAACTGCCTTGTAGATAAATTTGTTTATTGAACTGCCTTGTTTATCGTATGATTATTTTCAACTTTTGTAACAAAAATAAGTTATGTTTTAGTTCTTTTGTGTAAACCTATGTCAACCAGTCACTATGTACATGTATATCAAAGTGTAGCCAGTCAAGCAATTTGCATCAAAATGTAAAACAAATGCAAACCTGTACATTATTTAAAATTCGACTTACAACTTTAAAATTATCCTTGATCATATTTCATTCTCGTGTAAATGGTCACCTAATAAGATATTCAAATGAAGACTTGTAAAACAAGACCCTCTTTTCATTGGCTCATCGTAAAGTTTCTATTTTCTTTAAACACGTGACCTACACTTTGTAAAAAATGGTAGCAATGTAAAATATTGTAAATTTGTTGTGAATATTTATATATATGCTAACGACCAGTTTAAAGTCGGTCAAATGATTATTTAATTCATTCGTAAATGATCTGGCAGTATCTATAAAAGCAGCCGGTAAGGGTTTTTGTATTGATAATGAAAAACTATGCAGATGGTATTGTACTTATAGCAGAAAAAGCAGAAGATTTACAGTTCATGTTAGATATGTTAATTAATTGGTGTTACAAGAATATTATCATTGTAAATCCTATGAAGAGTAATATCCTTTATTTTAGACCTGTTTCTGTTCCCAGAACTTCATACAGTTTCACATGTGGGGACCACAGTCTGAAAGTCGTTGCCAACTATACTTACCTAGGTCTGTTACTGACCGAGATGCTTGATTTTAATATCATGGTGATACAGTTGCTCAGAGTGCTGGTAGAGCCCTTTGTCTCCTTATAGCGAAGTCCAAGTCCTATGGTGGCATGCCATTCACAAAACTTTACGATAGTACAGTATGGCCTGTTATTGCATATGGGGCATCTGTTTGGGGAACAAAATCCTATTCTTGCATAAATGCAGAACAGAGTCGAGCAATGAGATTCTTTATTGGATTGGGTAAAAATACCCCTATTGATGTCATTTATGGTGAGTTTTGTTGGCAACCCCCTCGTGTGAAGCAGTGGAGATCTGTGTCTCAACATTGGCAAAGAGTGAAGACAATGGATAGTGAGAGTATCAATTTCAAGATTTTTTAGATTTTTTGAAAGTAAGAGTAAGGATAATTGCAAAAATTGGCAATTTATGTATAAGAAACATCTATTGTCAAAGAATTTATAGAACATGTCAAACGATTGTATTAACATGTCTTCCAAACATCTTTGTGATAAGATAATTAAGTACACCATGGATACTTTCATTCATGATTGGAGAACCAGTATACAAAATGTTACGGGTCCCTCTTGTAGAGAGGTAGAAATAAAGTTAGGACTTATACACAATTTAGATATGTTTATGAAACTGAATAGTATTTTGAATGTCAACTTTGCCTAGTAAATACAAGTCTGTGTTAGCTAAGTTTAGATGTGGAGTTTCCCCCCCCCCCCCCCCCCCCCCCCCCCCCCCCCCCCCCCCCCCCCCCCCCCCCCCCCCCCCCCCCCCCTTCGTTTAGGAACCGGGAGATACAAAAATATCCCAGAAGAACAGCGTCTATTTCCGATTTGTGAACTTGCAGTGGAAAATGAAGTTCATGTTTTATTTCATTGCCCATTGTATCAAAGTCTCCGAAATGATTTTGTTAAAAAAGCTATTGAGATTGATGCCTCATTTGACTCTTAATGTGCTCAGGATAAATTAAACTTTGTACTCTCAAATGAACATATGTTCAAAGTAAGTTCTAAAATGTGCTTTTTGATCTTAAAAGCCAGAAACAACCATTTATATAAATAGGTTAATAGACTTCACTTCAGGATTAGTCATATATCCTTTTTATTATAAGTATTATTAGCGTAACTAGTATAAAGTTAAAGTTATTATCTCATTCTATATGGGAGATGAGGTATATATACAAATACTGACAGTTTAAAGTATGTTTGTTTCATTAAATACTTTTGTTTGTTTTTTTATTTGTTTTTGTTTTGTTTATTTTTTTTTTGTCTGCAAATAATATTGTATTTAATTAAATAATTGTAAGTCATTAAAACAGTTCTTAATTCATAAACAAGAGTGTCTGTAATGTCTGTATCTCGCCTCCTGCCTGGAGTGAACAGTTAATGCAATTTTAAATACATAGAAATTTTATTGTAGAAATATGATATTAAATTACATATTAAATATGTTGTTTTATCCCTATGTTTTGATAATCACTACTGACCAGTTCATCCATGGTCTAACGATGAGTGATAAATGATTTTGTAAAACCATTTTTTTATATTGCGTGATAGTGCTTTTATTACAAAATTTAGTATTTTACTGTATGATTTCTTATGGCAGTTAAAAGTCGAGGTCAGTAGAGGTTATCAAACTTTTAGAATGTAAAAGTCTATTATGATTTTGTAATTCAATGTCTCAAATATCTTTTTAAATAATGACAATGTGCAATTATGTAATCCTATTGAAATTGATTTATATGAATTACGCAAATAAGGGAGGTAAATCTACAGTACATTTGTACATAATTATTATACATTTCTGTAATATGGACTGTGGAGTTATCCCTCTTAGTATAAGCTATAACAAGTCTCTAGAATGGCTATATACAATTTCAATGTTTTAAATGTTTTGTATCTATATATGTGTATAGATGTGACTATAATACAGAACAATATATATTGATATGTCAAATATCTTTGAACTCTGTACATAAAAATAAACAATGACAACAAATGTCAGTCTGCCGAGAATAAACGCTTGCATGGCCTTAGATAAAAATACAATACTTTTTGTTACTTACAATCATTTGGAATAATTGATGTCGGTAGATCTAACGTTGTTGCTGTTGTTGTTTTTATTGTTTTTTTTTGTTTTTCTTTATCAGAGTAGGGTTTTTTTTTCTTTTCAGAGTTGGTTTAGTACACTTCGTTAATTCAAAATGTTATTGAATTTCTGAATGCATTTTATATTGTATACTGTATATCTTGTTTATATTTTTTATGACGCTACTTTCTTGGTTCGCTGTAAATAAAGATTATAAAATGAAGGATCTTTCTATTAAATGTTTCTTCTTGTATACTGTTCATTTTAGATGATAGCATATATTTTAACTAGTACAATATATAATGGTCATCATTCTGAACTATTCTGATAATTTGATTTCAAATAAGCACAAAGTTTAACGTTAATAATGGAGTATCATTATATTAATGTGAAGAGTTATTTATTCATTGTTTTTGCAAAGAGTCTGTAAACTAATTATTTCCATGTCAAATGGTCAGACTCGGCTTTATGAATTGTGATATAGCAGAAGTTATATATGTAAATGAGGGCACGATAGCGTATAGCTATATTTAGGTCCGCATGAGGACGACTAGATGATTGAGTTGGACGATACTTTCCAGATAAGGGGGCAGGGGACCTAAAAATGAAAAATTTTGTATTTCAGTGTGACCAGAAACACAATTCCAAATATTTCAAAATCTGTTTCACAGGCAGATAACCAGTTGCACAGCATTATTCAATGATATATGACATACATTGAAGAAAATAATAGTTTGCATGCATTGCTCCTTCAAAAAATGACTGACAGCAATTTATATTTACCCCCACCCAGCCAAAATCACACCTAAAATATACCAATATGGGCAATCTTCATGAAGGTGCAGCATACTCCAGAATCCGCCCGATTCCTTTAAAAATATCAGTAACACGCAGTGCAAGCTATGGCATTTTCAGAAATGACAAATAAAGTGTCTGTCATTCGAATATGTCCCCTGCCCCCTTAAGATTTTTTATGTGATCCGCATTAAAGCGTTTCCTTTTATTTTCTTAAAATATGGAGTATTTCGCATTAAACGTTAACTTCGAAAAGTGAATACTGCGGTTACTTTGTATTTAATCAAATATTTAAAAAAGACCCTATTTCAGGGGAAGTAACTAGTACAATGACCATGCCTGTTATATGATTTACTTAATATCAAGTGCCAGGAACCTGTGAGATGGTTATTTTTCTGTATTCCACCTTCATTTAAATACCATAAAGTATTTTCAGAGTATTTAAAGTCTTTTGGAAGGAGATTATAGCAAGAAAAACAATATTACAGCCACATTTAATGTCCCAAAATGAATTTCACAGGAAACCAGACCCCATTTATTCTGGCATACACCTAAAAGTGCAGTAAAGATACCACTGTTGACTTATATGACATTATGTACATTTGTAACAATTAAAAGTGCTCAATTATGCATTATCATGTCAATTTGCACAATATAAAACTGTTAAATCTGGATAAATGTGCACATTCTGTGAAGTACAGTGTTTGCCAAAATTCCAAATTTTTATTACCTCCCTTGACTTGACAGTCTACTTACTCTACATAACTTGATAAATCCTACCAGTCCACTTTCAAATTTTGACTAACAAATGTAGAAGGAGTGTTTATGGGCACATTTAGGTCAATTCCACACATTTATAATTTGAAAATTTCCTTAAGGGGGCAGGGGACCTAAAAATGAAAAATTTTGTATTTCAGTGTGGACCAGAAACACAATTCCAAATATTTCAAAATCTGTTTCACAGGCAGATAACCAGTTGCACAGCATTATTCAATGATATATGACATACATTGAAGAAAATAATAGTTTGCATGCATTGCTCCTTCAAAAAATGACTGACAGCAATTTATATTTACCCCAACCCCAGCCAAAATCACACCTAAAATATACCAATATAGGCAATCTTCATGAAGGTGGCAGCATACTCCAGAATCCGCCCGATTCCTTTTAAAAATATCAGTAACACGCAGTGCAAGCTATGGCATTTTCAGAAATGACAAATAAAGTGTCTGTCATACGTTTAGATTTTTCACAAAATTTATCTGAAATTTCTTACTTGTTTGGCGCCAACTGTCAAAGCTTGATTTTTAACTTTTTCACCTCCATTCGGAGAGTCAGAAATACATACAAAGCTACCAAAATGCTTAGTTTCGGGTAAAAACCCAAAAATATATCTCATTTCCTACACACAAACAAGAAAGAATTACAATGACAGAGAAATATCAGAAGTTATCAGTACCTTCAAAACACCATGTCTGAGTTATTAAAAAATTTGACCGGGGCCATCATTCGAATATGTCCCCCGCCCCCTAATTCTGTTTCTGCTACCTCACTTAAACAACCTGCATGACGGTGGTCAATATGGGACCAGTAAGATTAGAGTTGCTGCTAGTGAAGAATGACAGAAAGACAAAAAAGCACGTAAAGTCTTATAGCGTCTGCTCATAATGAAAAAAAAGTAAAAATATCTTACCCCTCCCTTGAGAACCATTTAAGGTGCAGAATTAAAAGTTCAACGCCAGTATTCCAGAGATATATATGAATAACGGACATCATTTTATATGTATAAAAGCACTGAACGCAAACTATTGTTAGTATATATCTTTGTTTACAGCATAATTTTGACAAAACATCAAACTAGGTTAATTATTTTCAACAAAAAAAATGTCCCTTCATTTAAAGGAGCTATTTCAAACACATTTGTCTGTTTACTGGTGATGTCATCTTTCCATATTTTTTTTTCATTTCTTTATTCTTTAATACATATATATATATATAATATAGTAGTAAGTCTTGATATTTCATTTTCTTGTTGTTGTTTGTTGTTAAACTTAACCTTTTGATGCAGGAAAATATATCTCGGAAATAGTTTAGAAGCAGTGGTCCAGTGGTACAACACGCACTTTAGGACCTAGAGAAGCCGTGTTCAAATCACGTATCAGGGTATCAGGGGCTGATTTCCTTAATCAAGACATTTACACTGCATCGCTTAAATTCACCTAGACATTATTTTGAACTGAAGAGGGTGCAGTAATGTGTCATATCGTATTTATACTTTTATTAACTAACTCATACATACTCAGAAATTTAATACTTTATATTTGTTTTATTTTTACTCGATAGTTATAAAGAGTGACAACTCTGTTTGTCTTCATGAAGTGAGCCTTGTTAAAGTATAGCAACACACTGAATTAAGATCATCAATAGACCGTAAAATAAAATAATATTCTTTTGAAAATCAATGATCATGAACCGACATATACTCCTTACTGCCAGCGATCAATATACCACATTGTCACGCTTTTTCTACCACTATCACGAGAAGTATTAAATAATGCATAATTTATTAATCATCGGAAAAACCTGCACAAGTTTCAGTTTCGATAAGTTTCAGTTACGATGAATGATGTGTAAACGTCGGCCCGTAAGGTAGTTTGCAATATGGTAGCTCGGGTACTTATTTTCACAAGACTTTGTGGTTTGCTTAAATTCATTCATAACAAACTTAGCTAGAATATATTTTTTCTTCCTTCTATTTTGATTCTGTTGTCTTGAGAGACCGGATAACGAGACATAAACATTTACTAACAGTTAGAGAATGTTGAGACGAAAACATTATGTGGTTCAACAATATTTAATTGTATATACACTGCATATATCACAAAATGTATATTAAGTTGAATATGATTCCAACAAAAATACAAGACCTTTTTGTTTCATTTAAATATAATTACATTTACGAGGGTAAAAGTCCTTGACAAATCTTATAGACGGTTCATTTTTAAAGCCAGTAACTAATAATTCACATGTATATAGCTTACCAGTTTATTATGTTACATAGTAGCAAATCATTTTCAAAATATCTACTCTAGTTACCTTAAAAAAAATGAGTATCAACGACATTGGCTTGAGCAAATAATTGCATTTTATTATGAAATGGCTTGAAAATATCAGTAAAATTACTTAAAGAAACAAATGATCTCACATAAAAATAGGAAAATTATAATTGCGGCGTATAGCCATGTCAGCGAAATAAGTGACAATAATGAAATCACATGTTTGTTTTATATAAATTCAACCTGAAACGCTTTATATGCTTTAACAGTTACCCATATACTAAGTCTTTTGCTTCACATGTGTGTTTGTATTTAGAAAAGACTTGTATCTGGTTATATTTTCGAGGTCGGCGGGAAAATGTGATCCTTCTAACGCAAATTTCCGGGCTTCCTCCGCGTATGTTTGCGCTAAATTAATATCATCAACTTCGTGGATTCTTGCTTTGCATAAACTGTTTACCATTTCCCTCCTTCTTTCTCTGCCACTGGTTGAACGTTGAAGAGTGCACATCAGTTCCTGTGCAGATTGTCTGTCTCCATCACTAATGTCTTCTGAATAAAGAATATCAAATGTATTTTTTATCTTAAGAAGACTCATTGCATTTTCTGAAAGAAACACTTTTCGCCAGATCATCGCCTTCTCTTCAGAGAGATCTAGTAAAATATCTAACCCCAGCTGACCAGAAACGACTGCACGCTTGACATATTCATCACAAGGATGATTGGACAAGAGGTATCGGTAAATGTATTGCTCGTCGTGATGTGCAAAAATCTTGACGAATGCTTGCTGACAGCTATTTGCAAGCATTTGAGCTCTATTCATGTATTTTTTCGCTTTGTTTGTTTCACCAGCAAAAACGGCTGTGTTAGCCATCTTTCCGAAATATACTATATCCGAGAAAGTTGGATCTACATCACTCGGAATACTCTCTTTCATTTCATTTAATATACTTTCCCTTTTAGCTTTGTCTCTAAACTGTGATATTCTCAGAAAAGTGACCACTGCAAATTTATTAGCAGCGTATGATTTTTCCTCTAAGTCAATAATATTGCCTAAAGATGCTTTTAAATCATAAAAACGTGTTTCAAGTTCTATTTTTCTATTAGTAAAAATGTTGTCATCCATAAAGCATTTTGTTCTACTGTAATACGTCAGAATATTCTCTGAAACACCGATATCAGCTCCATCGACTATGTAAACCCTGTCACCATTTCTTTTTGTCAATAGTTCTGCTGCAAAGTCATAATGTTTCATCCGTCTTATAAATTGGATTAACTCTTCAAATGACATAACAGCCAAAATTTCAGCAAAAATTAAATTTGGCCGCCATTTTGCCTTGCAATTTTGCAATCTAGTAAGAAGATTTTTGTACTGACCTTGTGAAATATGTGCATGACAATGAAGCAGTCTGGCGGCTTCAAACTCATCTATCCCTTTTCTTATATATTTCGGAGCAACACTCAGTACAGCCAACAAATCATATTTAGAAAAATTGGTATTTCTAAATTGCCACGCATTGTCCTTAATCGAAATAAATGTTGACATATTTCAGACTTGTTCAATCAATTGTAAGTGGTGAGAAATCAGGAGCAAATTAAAGTTAATCACATAACTCTTCAGATGTTTACAGTTTTTTTTTTACAATCATATCTCCTTGCCTTACATTCCCATGCATCACCGAAACTCTACACAATAAAACCCATCTGCGCATTTCAGATCAGATTGCACATTAAAATTCAGAATTCATCATTTCACCTAAACTTTCAGATTGATTACCTTTTCATCATTAGAATAGAAAATAAGTCATGATGGAATGCGCGCTGTTGCCTCTGATCGATATTATCTTTTCATCGTCTAGACGGCTTTTAAATATATCATACATGGAAACTTCCTATGGATTTTTCCAGGGAAAATAGTAGCAGCTATATACAGGCTAAATAGAAATAGGTAGCCACGAATAGAACAGATATATACGATACAGAAAGAAGGTGCCGATAAGCACATTAATATCGAAAGATAAACAATAACCAGTAAGCCGTGCAGCAGCTGTACTACGGGGTGTGGAGCAATTTATAGTGAAGACAGCTATACGTGAACTAAAAGCAAAATGGCAGAACACAAGTTTTCTAAACAGACTATACATGTATAATTATGGTATACACAACACGTTTTTCATTTAATTTTATTATACTGCACTTAACGTCGCTTTTCATTAGATAAACGTGACGTTTATATGTCTGTAGTCAACTTATGAAGTAATTTTATTTTTATTTCTATAAAAAAGGAAGTTCACAGTATTATTACTTCGTGATAAAGATTCTTAACAAGTTATATGGTCATATATAAACGGTTTTATGCAAACAAATGATTGTATAGGGCCGTATGATTTGTAAAATGTATTTATTACTTATAATGCAAATATGATCAGTAAAAACGTGACCCACAGATATTTCTATAAATTTTATTCTGAATGATACCAATTTTTGCATTTTTTAACAGAGTGGGGCAGTCTTCTCATGATTTAGATAATATTTAAATTTTATCCTGATCATGTTTCATAATCATTTATTAATCAGTCACCTTTCAAAAAGTCAATCTTTTGAAATGATATATAAACTCAGTATAAACTTGACAGCAAAAGTTTAGCATATTGTTACTTTAATGCATGTCATAAAACGAAGTTCGAGTATTTCCTGTGTTCCAAGTGTAATACCATAGAAGTGTTCTTCTATCAATTACAGAATTTATAATAGTCATCATCCAAATAATTATAAAACATGTAAATTGATATCTGTAACATGTAACAACAATTGTGTAAAATATCTGAATTATACTGCAAACAACTTCTTCATCACCTTTGATCTATCACGTGATTCGCGTAATGATATTGATTATTATGTATGAAAATGTATGAAGCTTATAATTGGTCTGTTTGAGAAAAAAATGTCTGTGATTTTCCAATTTACGGATTGCGCATGCGTGAAATTAACACACTAGTGTTATCAAGTAATGGGGATTAAATCATACCAGCAATATATTGTTTATTTGCAAAATATTGCGTTTTGCCTTACAAATCATTTCAAAGTTAATTGTAGAAAGGTTATTCCTATGAAATCAAGTTTATACTTCTAATGTAACATTGATATACGTATGTATGGACTATTTATACTTTTATTTGTTCATTATTTGTATAGAAAATGCTTCCTGTCGTGTCATTTTAGATATCTCAACATCGTAGTCATATTACATATTGATTGTTTAGAGTTAAATAGGCGAGAACCAATACAATGCACCATTAAATAAAATTTAGTGCACAGATTATAAACTATAAGGAACTTAAATGGATAAAAATGTACAAATTAAGTCATCTGATCTATTTTAACATATAGTTTGTTTCGTTTTAAACACACATTCACTGGGGCATGATTGTGAAAAGGGTGAATTGTGTCGTAGGATAATAACATGTATCATGGGGGATCGTACTGTAGTGAGTTTACGTGATTGGAAAGTGTTCGAGAAAGTAATACCAAAATACATAACTAGTAATATAGACATAAACAAAGCTATTACTTTGTTGCACGAACGTGGATTTATATCAATAGAAGAAAAACTCGATTTATTATCACTTCGTCATTTGCCGGGCCCTGACACTTATATAAAGATTTTGAAAAGAATATTTCAACTTCTTAACTTTCAGGATATAATAAGTTTTTTACAAGATATTGGTCAACATGCTTTTGCTAATGAGTTGAAACTGGAACGATATGGTTCAGGAATCGTCATACCGTCACAAGGGGCAGATTTAGCTGTTACACGTGCGACATTTCGTTACTATAATAATATGAAAATTCAAATGGATAACAATATTTTCGAATTTGGCAGATTACATGAACTAGACAGACGTTCATCATTGTTGAGAAACGAGATTATTACCGAACGGAACTTTCCAAGAAGACAGCGCCTTGTAAATCGTTATGCTGTGGTCACCTACCAGAAAGTGGCGCAGTACAGGTTCAGTTGTTTTAATTTGACTTCCATTTTTTTCCCGTTCATTAAATGTCAGAATTAAGTTATATTTCCTGCTGATATTGATTTTATTCCCTTTACCATCAAGAAATATCTAACAAAAAATCAAAATGCCTTTATCAAACATTATGAAATACGTTTAATTTCTAAATTCTAACATACATTACTGCTGCAAAATTAGTAAATTATCAATCTTATTTAAATCAACAACAGCAGTTATGCAGAATTTTACATTCGTTAACAAAACTTTTGTCACATTCGACCATTTCATCAGCAGGCTCTTGTGCTTTATGTAAACATTGTAATTGCTATAGAGTAGAGTAATGCCTAACAGTTATTTCTCTATAAACGAAGTAGATTGTCTTTGTGTTTGCAAGTTCGTACTCAACAGTTATACCTTAAAGATTTTAAGTCTAAAATGGAACACTTAGTAACACTTATTGAAAAGAAAGAATAAAAGATTAATCATTGTGTAACAGATGCGAGATTGTCATCACAATATTAACAAACGACAGATATATATCATCAGGTTCTAATGCTTTACAATATATTAACATTTCAGAGACAGAGACACAAGAGTTCAAATATTAGACAAAATGAAGGAATCGCTACCAGCTGATGTTGATCCAAATTTTACAAATTTTATTTACGCATGCAAGATGGCGGTGACAGAAATGCATGCGGACCACGTGGCCTCTGCTGAACGCTATATGGACGAAGCATTTACACAATGCGACGGTTGTGACCAAACTTTCGTGAAGACTTTTTTGTTTCATGATTTACAATTTGTGTCTAGAATTCGTCATTCATCTTCTCCGGCTGATAAACATTTAAAAGACACAATATCACGCGGGGACCTTGGTCTACTTTTCATGCAAGATGAGTGTGATACATCAGCCCAAATATGGAATAGAATATTTCTTACTGAAAACGCAATGGGACTCCTTAAGATTCGGAGCAATTTTAAAGTACTTGTAAATGAAAGTGTGGACAGAAGTGACCTTGAACATGCGGAACAGCTGTTATCTCGTCTTCAACCACTTGCCTCACTCGAACTTAGGAGAGAAATGATATACTATCTTTGTCAAGCACGTATCTCTGAACTTAGAGAAAATATAAAGGATGCAATTAAATTTGCGCTCAGGGCAAAAAAACTTGCAAAGGAAGGCGTCCATTTCAAAAATGACGAAACTAATATTGATGAATATTATAAATACTTGTGCAGAAAAGGTGAAAAAACGGTATAAGTAGTAATATGTTTATAGCTGGTAAATGTCATTTTGATAATGGAATATTTAATGACATTATAATGCCTTAATGGTGTGTCTTTTATATGCAATTAACTGATATTGCGATAGTAAAGATAATGAAAGTACAAGTTGTTGTCATTTCTTTCTTTCTTTTTAAAATAGTTTGTGTGTGTGTTTTCTTTTGTTATTTCTACGAAAAAGATAGAAATACTAACAGTAAGACATAAGCTGCATTAATGTTCCAAGTTTTTTTTTCCGATTATAAATATTTTTCGCCTGTGGTTTTTAAGATTTTAAACGTTCATAAAATGATTGTCAAAATCAGCGCCTATCTCATACCGATCAATATAACACAATAGCACAACACATGAATCTCTATTCATGTAAAATATGAAAAATGTTAGAAAACCGCTGTCAATGTGAAGAGTACAATTACATTTAACAAAATATCATAATGTTAACTGTATAATGCACACCAACATTTATATAAATAGCTTATGCTTCTTTGCTATTTAAAAACTGTATATCGCTGATATCAATAGTTCGTTTAAGACTATGTTTATCCAAAACGATGAAACAAAATATTATTTTCTAACATCTTTAAAATGGTTTTAAACGAAACGTAAAACATTTATTACCACCGTTGCTAACTTTGCTAACTTTGTTGTGGACATACAGTATTTCAAAGTAAGTGTCGGGTCGTTAGGAGTGCTCTATTTTCTTCTTAACCAAGTTATGTTTCACTCTATTCATTACGTAATATGTAATCATTTGAATGACCGATGCCATTTATGTCTTTTAAAATTACATTATTAAGTTATGCAATTACTGTCTTTTAAGATACCATGAAATATAACAAATATTGCAAATTATTTTCATGAAAATTTTTATATGATGATTTTTAGAGAAACAACCTTTAATTTTTTTAAATATATATCTTACATGAATGTATAATTCTTCACAGGAAAACAAAGCGCTGCTAACCAATCAATTTATCGAATCAAATGTTCGGGTAAATTGGAAAATATTTTTTAGGGTGCTGTTATTTAAGAAAATAATTATTTGCTCTCAAAAAGCTTTGCCATACTGTTTGGCAAGAACCAAGAGATAATTAAGTCGTGGGCACGAGATACAATGTCGTGGTCACGAGTTAATTAACCAATCAGAATACACCATATATTATTATTTTTTAAACTTAACAACTTACTTTTACATGCAACATTAATCTTTGAAAATACTGAAAATATTCACTTTGACCTTGTCTTTAGGATCATATTAGAAAGTCATCTTTCAAGGCCCATCAGACATTAATTTTGACTATAGCTCTTTTTTAGGACAATTTTGTGATCGAATTGGTCAGTTTGTACGTACTACGACCTGTTAACATTGTTTATACCATAACATGAGTAGGAATATAAGTCCTGGTTTATTTTATTTGGGAGGGACATTGCCCATGGACACTAGATAGCCTATAAGGTAAAATTCTTGTCTGATGAATAATTTAGAAGGGATAAGCCATTGTTTAAATATCCCAGAAAGATCATTGCACCTGATCAGTAGATGACATCTAATAATTTTGAGGTCATTGGGTAAAAAATCAGGGTTACAATGACGCTAAAATTATTGACCAGTCAATAAGTTGTATAATGGCATTTTAAAGGCTAGTGAAGTAGGGGCATCCTTGTACTATAGCACATGTCTAGTTAAATAGGAAAATACATATAAATGGTGTAATCTGATTGGTTATTTATTTCGTGGCCACGACTTAGCTATCTCGTGGCCACGACTTAGTAACTCGTGGCTACGACATAATATCTCGTGGCCACGACTTAGCTATAGTGGCCACGACTTAGCAACTCGTGGCCACGACAAAGTATCTCGTGCGCACGAGCGTAATAAAAACACACACATGTCACCTTTGTTCCACAGTAGTTATCATATTCAAAAAAGATTTGATAAGAATATCCTTCATAAACACGTTCACTATTTTAGTTTCGGGTTTGCTAAATGACATAAGTCATTAAGATTGCTTATACAATATTGTATTTATAAAATCTAGAAAATTTGACACAAATGGCGTCATCCGCATTTATAAATAATGCACGTGTGTATTTAAAAGCTAGCTATCGTAATGGAATATTTGCACTCCCAATTAAAGTTTGTGAAAATGTGGAATACATGTACTTTTTGAAAATTGTAATTTCCAGATATGTAATCTTTTAGACCATTTTTAGCGTCATAAAAAAATAAATCTTCAATAGTGATTCCATACTTGATACTCGTCCCAGTATGATGGTATCCCACATTATGTAATCTATAGCGGCCAAAGTTCTTAGTCCGGAAACTACGGAAACGTATAGCGACCACCCCTATATGATATATATCAAATGACATTCTTTATAGTTTTATAGTATGTTTGTTATATGTTAATATGATTTGAGGAAAGAAATACATATTCAAAAAGATGTAAGTGTATTATTTTTTCATTTTGTCAGAAAGTTAAAAGAAGTTAATCTTGCATTATAAGATAAAAAACGTACTATAGATTACGAAAAAATACGTATTATATATGATTTACAACATAACTTGATTTAATTGCTTCCTTTATAAATTGCGTGGGATTTTTCTGTCCTTATTATATTTAAACTGTAAAATATGTTATATTATAATAAAAAAACCTCAAATATATATAACTAATACATATAAATGAACAGAAAAAAACTCACATAAATTTTAATCGAGCAATATTAACAGCAGATCGGGTAAAAAATATATATTCAATATCAAATAACAATTAAAATATCGGTCAAATATATATCATGTGTTAAATAAATTGTCTAAAATTCTGTTTCACTAACATTCAAAGACGGTTAATATTACTAGATACATATTTCAGATCAAGTAAGTTTGTAAAAATTGGTTAGGTAAATAATATGTATTAAATAAATTGTCAAAAATTCTGTTTTTACTAGCATATAGGGGTGGTCGCTATACGTTTCCGTAGGAAACACAACTCAATATTGAAATTGGATTTCATAGTGTGTTTGAAGGTCATACCCTAGCCTTTATATATAGTACATGTACATATGCATAGAAATTGTAACAAAACCCTTTGATTGAGACAGCGACTGGTAAATCCAGTAAATGATGCAGTTTATATAGTTGTTGAGAATAGTCTTGGTTACAAGTGCTACTTTGCTAGTACACAAACATGCAGAGGAACTAGTGATTTGTAAACTTGAGCTTGAATGAAACACTTTTTTTAATGTACATAATTTAATACGATAATGTAATACAATAAGGAATCAAAGTTACCAAGTGTTATTATATAATGTTAAAATTATGTATTCATAACTGTTCTTTTTATTGATATAATCCGTATAGTCTGACCTCGGCCTATTACTATTTTTTTGTATATTGTTATTGAAATCCCTGAAACTTTATAGTGTGTTTATAACAAAATCAGCAGTTAAAGGGAGACAAACGCAATAAGTTTGATTAGAGCTACTACCATTATATTCACTCATAAAAATTAGATCTGTTTCGAAATTTATATGAACTATATAAGATATAAATTGAGATATTTTATACTGGTTTACAAATAATATCTAAATTTATGTGTCCTTGGAAAACAGCCATATGGGAAATTGATGTAATTAATTACTTAAAATAATTAAGTCGTTACAAAAGACTATATTAACATAAGAATTAGCATGAAGTGAATGAAGTACATTTTACTTCTATGTAACTTTTAATAAAATTGTTTATTAACATGTTATGCGTAGTTTTTCAAAGGCCAATCGTATTGGCAAGAATACATATCCTAGTTTAAAAATGTCTAAAAGCATGTCTTGATATTATTTAGGTGCGACAAATGAAGTATACAAGTACGATAGCGTGCAGTACAGTATTAAACTTTCGTCTTTTATTTAAATCATATTTCTTTTGTGCGTTAATTTACTATGCCAACGTCAATTGACAGAAAATTCATGAAAACTGCGGACAATTTCCATTACAACACCCAACACAGGTATTTCATACTCTCCAAATGCTGCTACTGCGACTTCTCATGTACGAATACATATAATTTATTTAAAAAAAAGATCACAACTGTCTCTGGTCCAATTTCTGAATTACGTCAGCATTTTCATACCAATATCGGTGGCTCATCCGGCTTACTTGACTTTAGAACAAAATGTGATCGATGTAATTATTATCCCGTCCTCTGATGGTGCCATCATGAGGTGGATTAATTCACTGACATAATGTTCTGTTTTATAATTAAATATTACTTACTCACTTGAATACCACAAACAATATATAAACTATGCGAAGGTTATCCTAACTTTAATAGATTTATATTAAAACTGTAAAATACTTCGAGTGGACAGTCACAATGTTATTTCTTGAAAATCCAATGTTAATACGCAATATATGTAATCATTAAAATATTGAAATACATGCATTCATTTCTTACTTAGACTTTATCGAAAATAAATTTCTCGTTACCTCCCTTTATTTATATGAAATTTAAATTCGGTAATATCTTTTTAAATAATGCTTTTTAGAACTTCCGATACTGTGAATCTTCATTTGAGCCTCATATTTATGAGGAAATGATCTAAACTACTGATTGTTTCATTTGCCAAAAATTGAAATAAAGATATTTCTACGGATTAGATAAAAAGTTTAACATAAAGCAAAGAACATCAGACAATCATGGATCACTACCATGCCATAGATAATTAATCAACGACATTGTCAAAGGTCAAAGACCATCAGCCGACATTCGATACAAAGATAATAAGTTGGAGGTTTATAATAAAAAAATCTTTTTTTTTTGAGAATGAATCCAACAGATTATGTGAAAGAGTAAATTAAACAAAAATATGATAGATGTTCTTTATTATATGTACATATGAAATAGTTACAAGTAATAACATGGAGAGACTCAAAGACAATACCAATATACTTAAATTAAGTGAGTAAAAACAAAAGTAAAAATATCAAATTAGATTTATATATCTATCGAAAAAATATAGACAATTAAAAATTGAATAAGAAATCCCGAGCTGTCTATTGAATAAAAACTTTTTGATTTGATTATTGAAAAAAGTAATAAAAGATCCTTAAAAGTAAAATTTATTGTAAGTGAAATAATTATAGATTTCAGTTTAAATCGAAACAAAATAGTCAGAAAGTATTTTACGTGCATAAATGATTAAATGTATGCATCGTGTGGTAATTCAAAAATGATCAAAACAAGAAATGAGCCGTGTCACGACAAAACCAACATAGTGCGTTTGCGACCAGCATGGATCCAGACCAGCCTGCGCATCAGCGCAGTCTGATCAGGATCCATGCTGTTCGCTATCAGTTTCTCTACTTGTAATAGGGTTGAAAAGCGAACAGCATGGATCCTGATCAGACTGCGCGGATGCGCAGGCTGGTCTGGATCCATGCTGGTCGCAAACCCATTATGTTGGTTTTGTCATGACACGGCTCAAATATTAACAACTACAGTTCTATATTCATAATTGCGTAATGTACCCAAAAAAGACTGAAACTTTATGATCAAAGCATAATTTAAATGTAAGATGGTCAAATATAAACTGGACCAGAGATCAACAATATGTTCACATATAAATTGCTGCCTTATCTTAAACCTTAGACACATTGAATATTTATATAACTTTAAATGGATAAAAACATATGAATACTTTTGAAATAAAAAGGTGAAATCTGCACGCCAAACGCTAATGAAGTATTCTTAATTAGACCTTCGATACATAGAATATTAACATATCTCTTAATTGATAAAAACAATAGCGCATGCATACTTTGGAAATTACGAGCTAAAATCCGCAAATGTTTTTAAGTAGCCAATATATAGATGAAAGGTGATAAAAGACATAAAGAGTCTTTCATTTAGATGATGTTCAACAGTTTTTTAAATAAACTGAATATTGTATCACACACTGGACTTTATAAAGCTTTGTAAGACTGATGGACATACTGACCTGCCTCCATACTGTTTGCAAAACTAACCACTTTCGGTTCCGTCAAGCTAAATGTTAAACATTGTAAGTCCAGTGTGATGGCCAAAACTAGATATAGATTGTGAAAAAGTTACAGTTTTTGTTATACAATTTACCATTCTACCTTCACTTACGATCATCGTAAAAAATATTATCTCATATTCTGAAGAAAATTTACAGTTGAGGAGTATAATTTTGATTGAACCTTATTAAGGTCTAGGGCATATTAAACATAATTGTATCATTATAACATACATGTACAAGATATTGTTCTATTTTAATTGAGATGACTAGAATCACATTTTTAGACTTTTTTCATCCCCTAGAAAACATCAAAGCATACCCATACACCAAGTTCAAAATACTTAGAAAAAGTATAAATTGTTGACAAGCAATGTTTTAAAGACATAACATGTGTAAGAATAGAAGGGTCAGTTCATCAATGTCACAACAACCACATAATAATGATTCAAACCGTAATGCGTTTGAACAAAGTCATATCATTTTTAAAACAATAAAATCAGTATATTTTGTTTCAGAAGAAGTAATCTCGCCCAAAAAGTTTTTTTTAAAAGCTGCATGCCTCCAGATAAGCCAAAATATTTCAATAAAATCCAGCATCAGAAAAATGTACTATGATTTTAGGAAAAGTAATACAAAATAAACATGTTATTTATGCGATTAATGACGGATTTTTTTTCAGAATTTAAAACTATATTTCTACTGCGTGACTAACGAATTAAGGGTTATTTTTGCATATTTTCACTTCTTCTCAGCAATTTTTGCCTGATGTAAGTGTCATTAGTAATGAGTAAATTGATTTTTTGTCTTTTTCACAATATTTGTCTTTTAGATACATGTGATCATGTTTTTAAATTTTCATAAAAATTAGCATGAATCTGGAGGCATTATACTTAAATGTACAATTATAATGAAGAGATATCATCTTATATCATATATATATCATCAAAAACAACACAAATGAAATCAAACAATAAGTGAAACATATCTCGTACAAGTGACATTACAATAAAAACATGTACAACAGAAGGCAAATGTTGAGAAAGCTACTCAGACTTTGTGAACATAAGCCGTTTAGTTAAAGTGCTAGTCACACACGGCATTTGCTTAGTTTTCCCGTCATCTTTTACCCAATTTAAAGCAACATTCTCTCGAACTGTAATCAGCATCTCCTCGACATGATCTTGTATATGATCTCTTGTGAACACGTTCATACACTCTGTGATAAACCATGATCCGATACCACTTCTTCTAAATGATCTGTGACCTGTTTATGAAATACAACGACAGTCAGTACATCCGTTCAAAACATGAGAAGAAAGTAACGAGATAAAGTCAAAGACAGTCAGTACATCCGTTCAAAACATGAGGAGAAAGTAACGAGATTAAAGTCAAACGTTTCTAGACTGGCACTTCACCATTCCGGCACGAATTTTGATTAAATGAAATTGAGTTTGTATTCCATACTTAAAGTGAAAATATATATATGTATATAATTATGCTAATAAACATTTTTCAAACATCGAAGAATATGTAAAATATGTACTGCAAATATTTGTATATATTATATGTAATCAATAAAATATATTCATCCATTTCTTATTGAAAAATTTGATTGTCATTTCATATTTAAAAAAAAAATTGACTAAAACTTTATAGAAAATAAATTTTGATAACCTCCCTTTATTTACATGAAACGTTAAATTCGGTAATATCTTTATAGATAATGCTTCTTGGAACTTACAAAATTGATAAATCTTAATTTGAGCATCATATTTATGATACAAAACCATAAAAAATTGTGTTACAGGATCTCTAAAGGTAACTCTGCATTTGAACTATCGAAACAAATATATTTTCACGAGGTTTATTATTATAATACCTGTCTGGAAGGGTCAATTTTAAATCTATAAAGATCATGTTAATGACCTACATTAATAACCAAATTATCAATAAAAAAAGAACTAAAAATAATTATTGGTATGCTAACTTGAAAAATAGCAAACAATGCATCTCAAAGAATACGTTTGGTTTCCAAGCAATCAACTAAAGCAAAGTTGAATTGAATTCTATATGAGCCGCGCCATGACAAAACCAACATAATGCGTTTGCGACCAGCATGGATCCAGACCAGCCTGCGCATCCGCGCAGTCTGATCAGGATCCATGCTGTTCGCTATCAGTTTCTCTACTTGTTATAGAGTTTGTAAGCGAACAGCATGGATCCTGATCAGACTGCGCGGATGCGCAGGCTGGTCTGGATCCATGCTGGTCGCAAACCCATTATGTTGGTTTTGTCATGGCGCGGCTCAATTCCAATTAGAACATTACCTAAAGTGGTGGCAAAAGCAGTAAGAGTGTCAGCATCTGTAGGAATGTGTATTAGGTCATCAGCCTCGTCCTTGCCATTGTTTGCATTGTTTTCATCCTCCTGAGCATCATCTGAGTCGTCTACATATTGTCCAGTTTGATCTCTATGTCCCCTACATGCTTGTATGAAAAACAGTTTAGGTCTTCCTGAAATAAAAACTATTTAGGTAATGTTTAACCAGAAAATGATGTCTTACCCTCATTTCTAAGGATAAACAAAAACTGGTTATTTTATATTAGAAAAAAACATATGCCGGTCAAATCTAAACTTTAATAGCATTCAATTAGATTTTATACTGGTACAACTATTTCGCTTCGTTTTAAAATATCAACTTGAAGGTAGTTATGACGTTTCAAACATATCACTGCATGTTATATACATTGTATACATAAATATTTCAATGATTTGTGGATAAATGTCTTCCTATCAATCAGACAGAAAATATTTAATGTACAAGACATTATGATCAAAGAACAAAGTATCAAATCTGAAATGGAAACAAATGATAACTCAAACATGTCAATGTCTGAATAACTGTAAAAAAATGCTAAATCAATTTCGAAATTGAAATTTAGTTATTTATTTCTATATGGGCTACCATTGTACTTCAACTTGTATACCCAAAGGGGGAGTGCCATGTTTTACCAAACTTGTCTATACCTATAACTTTTCTGTGTACTTACGTATCAAGGATTGGACTAATTTCGAGCAGAAAATGATATCACAAATAAAGCAAATAACAAACCTGCAAAGTTAGGTATATTTTTGTTATTGAAACTTTTCTGTATTTCGTCTATTGACTTTCTGCCATCTCCCCTGGTCTTTATTCCTACCTTAATTAATGAAAAATAATCATATATGTTACATCTGTATATATATCCCTGGGGGGGCGAGAACCAGTAAGTAACACAGGGTATGTATTATACGTTTATTCACTACGAGCGACTATTGTACACTACTTGGTATTTATGAGGCTTATACAGAGTGGCCAGCTATATAACATGGTACGTATATCTACATCATCATAAATTGTATGTATACTACAATATACATGTAATTTCAAAACCAAAATGCAATTCTTTACTTTTTTTAAGTAAATATACAAAGAATTTTTTTCCAATTTAAGATATTTAGAAGAATTGAGAACACACTCAACAGACTGATAATAATTATAATAGTTATACCTCGTCACCATGGCTCAAAATAACGCACACGAAGCAGTAGTAAGGTTTGTGATATTTGTCATTCAGTTTATTTTGAACAGACTCTAGAGCTGCTTCCACTTGGCTTGTCGATAAATCATGTAGTTCTCCTTGCCTTGGATCCAATATTTCAAAATTCAGTCGAGCTGGACCAAAAAAATCTTTCAACCTGTCCACATCCAAATCTGTCCCTATTTTTTAAAGATAAAATTAGAAAGATCCTTTTTCAATATTTTACTTTATTAAACCTGCTGGCTTGTCAGTGTGACATTAACATGTCAAGATTTGTGTACTTATTTACGTTACTAATCAATAGTGAAGACCTGTTATTAATAGGATAAGAAATTAATGAATTATCACCATTAATGCGACACTTCTCTTATATTGTGTATGCAAATTTGACTGAGTTTATTATATACTTTCCATATTTCAACACTACCGCCGACTAAGTAAATGCTCTAGTTTCATGTATCAAGTTAAACAATACAGATATACAATGCCTATACTTGTTCACATGTAGTATGAAATAAGTATAACTGATTTATGTTTCATCTATTGTAAAATATCATAACAAATGTCATTTATAAAATGCATACTTTATGAACTAAATATAGCATAATGATTAGAAATACTGCATATGTGAACATATAAATTACGAAAATGGCATTGATAAAACGTGAAAATATATCATAAAAATCATATATTTGCAGACATAACGGTTAAAGAAACTGAATATTATTTATATTAAGAAAAGTCTGCCTTTTAAGTCACTGAGCTTCGGTTTCTATAATTAAAATTTTAAAGACAAAAAGAATACAAAAGAAAATAGCTTTTACAATCTTTTACAAAAAATATGCATTTAAATAATCATCACGAGTTTTTTAATGCATCGGCTAGAGCAAACAAAAAAAACAAACTTTTTTATGAGACATTTACAGTTGTAATTTTTTATTCCACAAACGTTTTTAGTCAAAATAAAGGAATAAGAAAATGAGACTGATCAAGATTTAAGGATTTATAATACACGCATAAAATTCTTCCTCACCTGCTCTATTTTCTTTGAAGTTAAGAATCAGTAATAAACCTTTTTTCCCTGTGTTGTCCCAATACCCATGGTTGCCATGACGACGATAAAGTGGGTCTGGGTTATCTAACTCTACATTTATAAACAAAAAGTTAAAATTATGTAAAATATAAACAAGATTATAGAAATTTACATGTGTCAAGATATAACCATTTAAGTAAAGTAACAATTTCAATTAAAATTGTAAAATACGAGTTATCATTCAAGTTGGTAATAAATTTATAACATAGCTTTTATAAAGTTAAGCACATTTAAAAGGGCATAAAGATCTCTTGTGGTCGGTACAATATTTGTTTTTTATCTTGATAAAATTCCTACGATAATAAATCAGTTTAAACCATGATATTTGTAAATTTGGCGTGTGTACGAAATAATCATTTAAACTGCTAAAAACTACTAGCACGCGTATTAAAGGGGACGTGCGTTCTATGATAAAGACTTTGGTTTCTCTAAACGTCAGCATACGAATATGTGAATATGATTTTTGCTTTATTTTTCGTTTGGATTGCCAGTTATTGCATAGACTCCTGAACATGTGACAAGCATGTATTTATGTTTAGAGTAAATATATGGCAAACTATTATCAGGGTACTAATGTATAATTTGATGTTGAATTATCAAACCTGTTCGAGCACGTTTGGATGATGGTCCATCTGTAAACATAAAAATGTAACATCATTAATTCTTGAGACCTCGACAGGAGCTTACACTTAATAATAAACCTCGAACTAAAACCATAGAAACTTTCTGAATACGTCTTTTTTAGAAGTGCATTTTTTTAAAACATTTTCTAAAAAACAATTTCTAATACATTTTCTAAAGAAATACATTCCCTTATAAGATTAGCTAAACATATGATTCAACGACGTTAATAAAGACATGTTAACAGTTGAACAGAAGACAACTTAAGACTGACAGCTAAACTCTTTGTTTATGAACAAAGGCTTTAGCTCAAAGCAGAAAAAAAAAAATTGTTATATATCAAGTTACTACTACAAAATTGAACAATTCACCGGCTTCTATTTTTACACAATACCACTTCAATAGCTGAGTACGTTATTGTGTTTTATACTGTTTGTTATAAAGGCTTTATATATGTTGGTCTGTTATTTTTAACAGGGATCAATGGTCGTACAATTTGATCTTTAGGGAGATTTCCGTTATGTCTCAGTGAAAATGTTATACTTCCAAACCCAAAACCTTTAGGAAATTTTGTGAAAATAGATAAAAAATATTAAAATAACTTCAATATATTTAATAAAATGCATAATGCAATTTAAATTTAACCATATTTAATGAAAGCACGAATGTCTTATACCGTACCGTTTGTAGCATCTCGTCCTGTCGGTCTTGACCTCGGTGGTGCGGTGCTTGAGCCCTGCTGGCCATTACTATCTGTGATATACGAGAAATGAAAAATGAATTTTGAATAAATATTGTTAATTTTCCGCATAATACACTGGTTCTTGTTAGTTCAAGGAAAGGCATTCTAAAGAGATTTCAAACCCTTTCTTTACACAATCGATAATAAATATGTGTAAAAAAGAATAAACCTTTGTTGGTTAAACATGCTCATAAATAGTCTAACTAATGGTAGATTCGAGTTGCAACGTGTTTATGAGCCGCGTCACGACAAAACCAACGTAATACGTTTGCGACCAGCATGGATCCAGACCAGCCTGCGCATCCGCGCAGTCTGATCAGAATCCATGCTGTTCGCTATCAGTTTCTCTACTTGTAATAGGGTTTGTAAGTGAACAGCATGGATCATGATCAGACTGCGCGGATGCGCAGGCTGGTCTGGATCCATGCTGGTCGCAAACGCATTACGTTGGTTTTGTCGTGACGCGGCTCAATTATTTTATCGATGGTCAGTATCTCCCATATGAAGCGAGACTGTAACTCAAAATCTAGCATTTTAGTATTTTAAAGTAGAGTCCCAATGAGCCGACGTACAAGGTCACATAATTTCATGTTTTTTCGAGCTTATTTATGTTAAGTAGAAGTACATGTATTGATAAAACAATCAGATTAAATTCCGGTGTACTTAACTGGAGTGATATCATCTGACTCACTGATAAACATGTTTGTATAAAGTTAACCTAGCTTCATGTCATGTATATCTAATACTATTGTTTTATTATTTTCCATGAATTTGTTCGCTTTAGAAAAAAATGCATGTATAAAGTTACCTGAACTTTTACGAAGTACGCTTATATCTTCTTCTGCTTTTTCAATCAGTGTAGTTATGTTATTGTTGCCGCTATCCTCACTGATCTTTTTTAAAACATCATATTTCCCTGGTCCCAAATGTCCTCTTGACGCCAATGCATCAAATTTACCCAGTAATTCCTTCTTTGCAGCAAGTTGTCCACGAGGAACGTATCCTTTAAAGTGTTCTATAAAACTAGCATATTCGCTACTGTCAGTGTCAAACTCGTCTTTAATTGTTGTTAGTAATAATTTATGACGCGCGATTATTGGATCTAAAGCCATCAGTTAGGTTAGTGGAAATATGTTCTTAATTTTTAAAATGACGCTATCCGAAACAAATATTTAGGTCACAGAAAAATACGCTTTTTGAAAACAGTCGGTTTACACTAAAGCATGTTAAACGCTTACATCCTGGTTTAAAATCACTGAGCTATCATATATTCGTAAAAAAGTTCACGGCTGGTTGAATAAACGCTCAATAAATAAAGCAAACATGTATATTTTAATGACACGTTTCAAAGTTAACTCCCTTGAATTGATTTGCTCAATTGCGCAATGCATTTTGCATTTTTTGTGTTTAAGGATATATTAAAGCAGCACGCATCCAAATTCATGTTAATTTTCATGAAAATTTTGAAAATGTATTAAAAAGTAAAATATTGTGAAGTGAACAAAGATAATATTTTTTACATTGCAAACAGCAGAAACAGCACATGTAAATTGCCAAAACGAGGTCAAAATATGCAAAAATAGACCTTACTGCGTTAGAAACGCAGGAGAAATATGTGGAAAATACTGCAAAATCGGTCATAAATCGCTCATAACATAGAAATTATTACTTTTATCTTGAATATTTTTACTTTCTTAGAAACTTAGTACTTTTTACTCAAGTTTTGTTTTCTTGAAATATTTTAGCTGGAAGCATGCAGACCAATAACGACATAATATTGCTAAAGTGAAAACCATGGTGCCAGTTTCTATATAAATTTATAAAATGTCAGAATTAAATGTAAGAATTCATGTATTGTGAACTACTTATACAATGTACCTTTAATTTGCATTTTTTACTCTTGTGAAAATGAGGAAAAAAATGTTCAGCCAATTACGGCGGCAGAGGGGTGGCATGCGTGTTTTTATTTATCTGAGATAGTATGTCGTGGCCACGAGTTACAAAGTCGTGCGCACGAGATAATTATGTGGTGCGCACGAGTTACAATGTCGTTGCCACGAGTTACTCAGTCGTGCGCACGAGGTAAATAAGTCGTGGGCAGGAGATATGTTTTGGCCACGAGTTTTTAAGTCGTGCGCACGAGGTAAATAAGTCGTGGGCAGGAGAGACTATGTCTCGGGCACGAGTTTCTAAGTCGTGCGCACGTGGTAAATAAGTCGTGCGCAGGAGATACTATGTCGTGGCCACGCGTAACTAAGTCGTGCGCACGAGATAATTATATGGTGCGCACGAGTTACTATGTCGTGGCCACGAGTTACTAAATCGTGCGCACGAGCTAAATAAGTCGTGGGCATGAGAAACTATGTCTTGGCCACGAGTTTCTAAGTCGTGCGCACGAGGTAAATAAGTCGTGCGCAGGAGAAACTATGTCGTGGCCACGAGTTACTAAGTCGTCCGCACGAGATAATTATGTGGTGTGCACGAGTTACTATGTCGTGGCTCGTGCGCACGAGGTAAATAAGTCGTGGGCAGGAGATACTATGTCTCGGGCACGAGTTTCTTAGTCGTGGGGGCGAGTTTATTAAGTCGTGGAGACGGGTTACTTAGGTCATGTGCGCGTGTTAATTAAGTACTGTAGTGTGCACGAGATTTGTACTCCAGACACATGCTATCTGATCGTGTGTACAGTACTGTCCTTGCCGCTTGCGGAAATTACTTACTCGGATTTATATTGTAAGATTCATTGTTGTACATAACGTTACATCAAAATACGAACAAAATGTGATAGAAACACCTTTAAGTAACTAATTATATAAATACATTAAGACTCTACATAGATCTTATTTAAAAAGTTAACGTAATAATAAACATGTGAACACGGTACTGAGTGTGATAACCAGTAATTTAATTTTTATAATTAAATCAGCATTTAGGTCATCCTCTCCAAACACTATGATTTAAGTTAGATACTATTTATAGCCACGACAAGCTTGACCTCATTTAACCTGACCCCGTTTAACCTCAAAAAGTTGTTTACGTGATTTATCGGGAAACCACGAGAATATACCATTCGCGAACGTTCTACATTTTGCCACGCTCGTCCGATACCGTATATAAGCGTTCGCGCGGCAGATTCAAAACAAATCAAAAACGTAAAAAAAACGAACAAGAAAGCAATTTTAGAGATTTTAAATCTACACATTTTATAAACTGTAACATGGCTTGGAATTTAGTGCCTGTTTGGAGAGGAGATTTTGATTTCTTTGGACGCCAGAGAGATTTATTCTCCGACTGGCTAGACCAGTTTGAAGACGACTGGCGACTTACAAGTTTCGAGGATTCAGAAAGAAGATTCCATGACGAACTAGATAGAGTGCGCCGAGAACTACATCAGATGGATGCCGAGCCGTCCTTGCTGAGTGTAAAACAACCTTTTGTTACAGGTAAGTGGGAATTTATGTTAAGAAATATTATAGATCTAGAATTCTAATGCAAGCGATTGAATTAGATCTATCACAAACACTATATCTATCATTAAATGTCTCTGAATAGCAGTGCTGTTAAGTTCTTTTTTTTTCTTTTTTCTTTTAAAACATGCCATTCCATCAGGCGTGTATCAAAGAACAAGCCAGTATTTATAATGATAGGATTCAAAAAGTTCCAGTAGGCTTTACTGTACAGCACTCTGAGAAAAATTGAATTTTGAAATAGAAAATTTGATTCAAAGAATGGCTTGGTATCATCTATTATAGGTGTTCGGCGCGTTGATTGGTCACTAACCCCCCCCCCCCCCCCCTCATTCTATAACCCTCCTACCTCTCAAAACCATGTAAACTGCAGTATTTTTCATTTGAAACCTGTTTTAATATTTGGTAATTAAAATAAAATAACTACCTTCATTTCCCACAAAAATAAAAAAAATGATAGAATCTAGATCTACATTACTTTACTGTACTGTATAGATTCTATTTACTAAATATACTATACAGTACAGTATGTATCTTTTTTTCTGTTTTTTTTTGTGGGAAATGAAGGAAAATGATCCAAAATATTAAAACATGTTTCAAATGATAAATACTGCAGTTTACATGGTTTTGAGAGGTAAGAGGGTTGTAGAGTCGGTAGGGGGGGGGGTGGGGAAGGCGGAGATAGTGACATATATATCAACGTGCCGAACACCTATGCTTGGTATAGGTTTGGAAATACAAAGTGCACTTGCAAAATTTACCACTATTTTACTCTTGACTCGTATTTGTATATACATGTATAGCATTACAAGATTTACACAAGTTACCAAGTCAATACAGTAACGTTTAAGTAGACTATGCTAGTCGTTCTCATTCTGAGCTGATTTTAATCATACTGTAGTGTTTTAAACAGTCAGTACATGTATACAGGAGCAAAATGGTAGCAAATTTGATACCAGAATTTGCAAAAATGTTTTTGACCATATAGATCTAATGGTTTAAATCGGTATGCCTCTGGGACAGATTTTCAGGAAATTTTTTGAAGATGTATATTAAAAAAGCAAGCAAAAATAAAATCTTAATTTAGATCTTCACATTGCAAACATCACTAAGTCTTGCAATCTACCTTAATCAAAATAACCGAAAAGAGGTCAAAATAAGTAGTAGAGGTTAAATTCCCTTAAAATCAGTAAAAATAGCCCTTAGTGCGTTAGTAACCAGTAGAGATAGCGTGATAAATACTGCAAAATCAGTCCTTAATCAGTTCACGTATAACTGATATGTAAATTACATGTAAACCTTGAATACCTTTTTTGTTAATCTCAGTACATTTTTCTCCTTTAATATTCTTGAAATATTTTGGCCCATCTGGAGGCATGCAGCTTTAACACCTAAATAGAATCTAGATAACCTTTAAATAGACTGCTCTTTTAGGTAATCACATGACTATATGTACATAATTAAATAATCTTATTCATAAATTTGAAGAACAACAACCTTTATTGAAGGCCAATAAAATAAGTCCCAGAAATGCTTATTTTAATTTCCCCAAAAAAGCTTTTTATTTTTGATCTTTTGACCATAAAGTTTCCAAAGTGTTACCCATACCGCATTTATCATACATGTACCTGACATACATTTTGGCAAATGGTACAGTTAAGTATTTAGTATGGAAGTCAAAATAATACTTTGTTTATTTTTCACTACATTTTTGAGAAATAATTTCAAATTCAGTGCTACTTTAATTTATTCAGGTGAAAAGCATGCTCTAAAAGGATTATTTCAAATTAATTTCATAGTTTCCCTTTCTCAAGAATAAATTTTTTTTCGTTTCTGAGGCATACTGTGCCTTTAAGAATCTGGTTTTGTAATAATATTGAAATGCAATTATCAGCTACATGAAAGTAGTATTTGGACCCTAATATATAATTGTTTTAAATGATGTTTCAGATGCTGCAGGTAACAGAAAACTTAAACTGAGATTTGACTGTAGTGATTTCAAACCCGAGGAGATTACTGTTAAAACCCTGGACAACACACTAAAAGTTCATGCTAAACACGTAGTTGATGAGCCTGGTCGTAAAGAGCACCGAGAATTCACGAGGGAGTTTACGTTACCAGAAAACGTGGATCCGAACGCGTTAAAATCTCGTCTGTCGTCAGACGGTGTCCTAGAGATTGAAGGCCCGGCACCAAAAGCTATTGAGGAGGCTCCCAAAGAAAACTTAGTTCCATTTGAACATTTGGAATCTAAAGACAATGGTGATAAATAATAAAATATAGTTGTCTCCCTTAGTTAAAAGTGAGTGTGACAGTGAACAGGGAACAATTATCAGTATTAATTCTAATTAAAAGTTCTAATTTTGTGACTTTGTTGATTTACAATGTGTTCATGGTTGGTGAAATATTCATTAGTTGAAATATGTTTGTATGAATGGCAAATTTGTACACGGTTAGTTTTGATAAATATTAAAATGTTAAGCGATTTCTTTGTTGAGCATTTTTTACTTTGATGTGAATTTTAAATAAATTACATTTGATGTTTCTAAACACAGAGCTAGTGGCATAATATTTACAAGATAAAACATCCGCTTGATGTTACGTATGGATGTGATAGTTTTATCACCTGACATGGTTAAAACATTGTGAACTGGTATTTAAAAAGAAAAAGATGTCCATTTATGCAGTTAATTAGAACCCAACTTAGAAACTCCCATAAGGCCATATTCCCCACCCCCACCGTAAATCTTCTTAATGCATTTTGGTCAGAAACATTGTATACACACCGGTCTCTCAGTTAGACCGGTGTATACAATGGGTCAGAACTACGGTTCTAAAGATACTCCTTTATCAACTGTTTGCCTGATGCCTGTCTAATTTTAACTAAAGAGCACATGCCAATATTTGTGGTTAAAGTCAGGTTAGGGGTCTATCAATTTAAGGACAACTCAATGTTATGAATATTGAATTTCAGTTCAGGAAAGAATGCGTTAGCATACAGCTTTTTAACGATGAAAGTCGTGCGTGACAATGAGATGTTCATTGGCAAAATTTGGCTGTTTCACGCATCTGCCTATACTGTTAAGTACACAGACGCTTGGGTGTCAGACCCTCTCCTGCGGCTTGAACCACCCCTCAAAATGGTCAAAAACTTAACACAAACAGGGTACTGTCTTAATCATTTATATTTGGTTTTTTTAACAATTTCATCATCAATAAAAATCTCATGTACCGTCAACAAACTTTTTCAGACTTGTCGTACAGTATATGGGATTCGGGAAAAGAAGTTAATATTGTTTTTTTAAACCATTTCCATATCAATAAAAAAATCCATGTACAATGTACCGTCAAAGATCTTTTGAAAACTTGGCGTACGGTATCTTGTGGAATGGTTTAAATGATAAAGAGAGATGCCCCATATGTGTTAAAAGAGTTTTATTGACCGTTCTAGCTGTGGGATAGGGTCTGATACCCGAGTGTCTGTGGTTTAGTATTGGAGAATGTAACCTTATTATTTAATATAATTGAAATTTCGTGACTTAAGCTTCTATATTGATTATAGAGTTTCTAAAAATCGAATCGTATAACAGAAGTTCCACTGAGGTCTGAAAAGCAAAAAAAGAAACACACATAAAACTTGAAATTCCTACATAGATTAAGCACCACTCAAATGAAAACCTCTGCAAATGAAAGTGAAGAAATCGTCACAGAATCATTTTGAATACCGATTTTTTTTGTGAGATTCATGACCCGATCTGCGAGAAAAATGCTGCAATGTTTGTCTTTTTTGGGTCATTTTTGAAAATGGTTATTTTGGAAATACGCGTGAGTACTTGTAATGATCTGAAAGTTTGTACAATAATTTGTCCAGACCTACATCAAATGATAAGATAATCACGGGAAATATTCCAGTCCCGTGATACCAAAAAAACTCAGTTAAGTCTAACTGCAACAATGAGAAAGAATATCGTCACAATTTCAAAAATAACGAGTAGGTTTTGAAATAACTTTTTAACAGAACGAAAGTTTTAACATAATTATCACATTTATTAAGTTAACCCTACGAATATTTTGTGTAACTACAGTGTGGTTTCATAATTGTAATAGGTCTTATAGCGACGAGAAATTTGCATATACAATGCTACAGTCAGAACTGGCTACTTATTTATAAAATAAGTTGATAGTCCATTGTTCAATCTTCATAATTTTGATTAACCACGATTGAGTCCACTTCTCGTCACTGAAAAGAAACTTTTTTGTAACAAGAGTAGGGTTTGTGCCTTCGATAGCTAGTTTTTGTTTATTCTACGAGATAGATAGCTTCCTCATGTGAAAATTCCAGTGTCAAAGACGGGATTTAAACACACACTTTCAAAGGCCATTGAAGTTGCCTACATATAGTACCTTATTGTTACCACCACTGAATATGAAATAAACATATTCAGTTAGAGATATGATATATCACGGCACAAAAGTCTTGCTAATTTAAGTTTATACATGTACATTTATTACACAATGAATGTCACAGAATAATTAAGATAAACGGTCTATAACTTAAAACTGTTATCATAGTAATAAAAAAAAACTTTTAAAGATATCTCTATTCAGTGCATTGTTTGAGCATTCTAACACTAATATAATGAGATATACTCCTTGACACCATCTCCATCAAGATGGGCTTTGTTCATGCAGCATGATACATCGTCGTTGTACACATTTAACTAGAATAACTATTTTGTACATCAGTGCTACTGTATAGTGGATTGTTCCAATCTCGTTCTATCAGACCACTTTGTTCCGAATTATTCCCGCCGTAAACTGTAATGAAATATTTAAATATAAATGTTGAATTTGCTTCGAACTCAGTCGGAAGTACATTTTCACTCAGTTCTGAACGCTAAGAATTAGTGGAGAGATCCATTTAGCCATCCAGTACCGTGAACAATTATTTTCGACTAAAGCCGAGTATGAAAGCTTAGAATAGTTAAAAGGATCGCGAGAAGGACGTATACTCAATCATAACGTGCTTGAGTCAAACATGATTAGATTTTGACATTAGACTTGAAGTCTGGCCAGGCTCTATATTGTTGGTAGCTCAACTTTAGTATTAAACTTTCTAAACTTTATATTGCAGTTCCAAACTCAAAGCAGAGAAAATCTTAATATTCTTAAAACAACAAGCAGTTAAAAAGTGTTAGAACGCCTCTCAACACTGACGCTAGATGGATGTCTTTATTTAAGACTACGTCACAAACAGTTTACGTGAAAATGGTTAAATGTACCTGCTTGTTTTAGACCTTTCCCAAAGTTATTATAGGCAAGATAACATCCTGTACACGTGATTATTCTAAGGAACACCATAAGGATTGCTGTGAACAAAGTAATAACACTTAGCTTGTGGTCGACTTCCGTTTTATTGATGTCTTCCGCAGCCTATGATTGAAAATGACACATATTCCGGTGCAAAACAATTTTCATTTATGTTTAAATTAAATTTATGAAAGGAAACTTAAGCAAGAATAAATCATTCTCCTTTCGTAACGGATATGAAACATATATAGCCATATTTTTCAATCATGGATAATTTATTTTTCAAAATCACCAACTCCTTATACATTTTCAAAAGAATTTTGTCTCACATTTACCACTTTTTTAGAGAGATGTACCTACGGAAGCACAAAGAGGACATGTGGGAATTCATTATTATCTTGCGGCCATTAGAAATACAATGTAACGAAACAAGAATATATCTCTTGACCACGAGCCAATAAAAAAGAGGGCGGAGCGAGCCAATAAAAAGAGGCGGAGTAGTTAACTGCTAGCCAAGGGATGATAAAAACTAATCATGTCCTCTCTGCACTTCCGTATGTATCTTTCAGCTTTATAACATTTAATTTAAACGGCTTTTATTTCATGAAGTGATCGTTCATTAAGTTAAGAATAATTTTAACGATTTATCACCTGCACGAGAAGGTACATTCCTGTTGCCACAAGAAAAACCGATGACATTCCAAAGAAAAATACACACAGTTTACTCTCGTATTTTATCTGTAATAAAACAGATTTCAATTATTACATAAATCTTTAAAATATGAAATGACAAATAAACTTTAATGCAGTAGGAAGTTAAGCCATTATTGACTATAAAAATCAAGAACGTTGGTAACATATTCTTACAGTGATATCTGGAGGTTTTAAAGAAAGATAATAGCTCTTTTATTAAGCACGTGTATGTTAAACAGAGTAAGGGAGTATCAGAAGGCGTGGAGGGGCTAGTTACCTGAACTTACCTCCACGTAGAGTGCTAGGGGGCGTGGACGGTAACTTGCACATTCCATTACCGTCAATGATCAGGCTCGATCAAACTGAGCCTGCAACATTGTCAATTTTGTCGTTTTGTACGTTCTTTGGGGATTCTTTATTTCTGTCTATTTTAAGAACTATTGCTGTAAGACTCCCATCAATGTGTTTGATTTAAGCTGAATTAAATCACTATCACTGTACTTATTATAACGACAGCAAACGAAGTAATAGATGGTCAATAAATACTTTTTTAATTGAAACAAAACATGTCGAGAAAACATTAAAATATCTTAACTAGTGAAAACTAGTATTTTGGGGGGTTGTAATTTGTCTTTTATGATGACCCTGTACATAAATTTCAAGTTTCAAGTCAAAACCAGGACTGGTTTCAGATATATTCAAAAACATAGTTAGCACTCTTGTGACCCAAAATAATTATTTGAAATTTGAAGTTAATATCTGTACATATTTAAAAAAAAAATGGAATGGGACTGGGCGGACGGTAGAAACGAAACGAATTAAACACCTAGATATTTTTTTCTATGTGCAAAATATCAATTTTAAATATACTTACACTAATATGACCAAATATGAATGCGCAGGCCGCAATAATCATCACAGCAAAGAAGAGAATAAACATATCTTTATGAATGAAAAACCCAGATTTTAACTGAATGGCGTACCCTGACGTGAGAGTAAAAACTGCTGCACTTAGCTGGAAAAAAAATTGATAAAAAGACACATATACATCATTTAAATTACATGTTGTCATATCAAAACAAAATCACAAAAATACAAATATTTTCTACATATGGCCTAAATATTAAGCATATAATGAAACATCAGACTAAAACGTTTAAACATTTATTTTTGTTTTAACTCAAAACTACAGTGGCTGATTTGGTACACTGCGCGGTGCGTCGTCGATAGCGACAACACAACCTATATCGTTATTGCCTTTTCGTCTTGTCGCTAGCGACAACACGACAAAGCGCCAAACGGCGCGTTGTCGCACTGTCGTCCTGTCTCTAGCGAAGCACGCCAAACGGCGCGTTGTCGTGCGGCGCCTTGTCGCGATGTCGCCCTGTCGCTTGGCTTATAGGCCAATTTTCCGATTTGAACCGAGCGACAATGTGACATCGCGACAACAGGCTGCACGGCAACGAGCCATTTGGCGTGCATCGTTAGCGACAGGCCGATAAGACGAAAGTGCGACAACACGCCGTTTGGCGTTTTGTCGCTAGCACCAACACGACGCACAAAAGCGTTCCAAATCCGCCACCATACAAAACGACATACAACTTGTGAACACCAATGTGCTTTATTTTGACTGGTAATCCGTAGTAGAGATGATTATAAAAAATAACAATTGAAACGCTAAGGTAAAGCCCCTGTCCCATTGGAAAATGGTCTGATTAGATTACCGGGGGTAATGGTTGACTTGTTCATAAATAATGATAAAAGGCAACTGTCAAAAGGGACCACCTCGGTCAAATTAATACTAAATTCTAACACGACCCGCATTTTTCCCTATTGAACATAGAAGAACAGAAAGTGTGTGTTATTATGCAACAGATGCACAGTTTGACGTTCTATATTTAGACATGTGACGTAATCATTATACACGTGACGCAACCACTAAAAATCCGACGCGCTGAAAATAAGTTCGGAAACAAATCATGCAGGCGCAATTTTACTTAACTATCAAGGACCGCAACATTTATTTGTTAATGTCGTGTTAGAATCGAAATAATATATCCAAATCAGTGATTTTATCGCTTGATCAATAACATTACTGTTTGTCGTTCGGATGCGCATCATTATATCACTCGGGCTACGCCCTCGTGATATAATTCCTCGCATCCGAACTCCAAACAGTGATGTTATTGAGCGATAAAATCACTGTTTGGGAAATATTATTTCTTAAATATACTCACGTCACATTGCAAGTTCACACTCAGAAGGAAATAAAACAGAAGCATCGTCCTTAGATAACCTTTGAGATTATCATAGTTTTTCTGGGCTGCATTAAAGTTCGAATGTCCAAGAGCATCACTTCTCGAAGGTGGCACAAAACTTGTACCATAGTTTGTTATGAAATTCTTGGATTTCAAATACTGAACCAAAAAGTATATACCAAAACTCCCAATGAATAGCGAAAACATTAGACACAGAATCAGCCGTACCTGAAACAAAAATCTTTTTATTGCTTAAAATTGCGTGAAAAGTACATGTGCGATAATAACTTATCTCGTGGCTATGAGATAAATAATGTTCCCTCTGTGCTTCCATAGAATTTGAGTCAGAATGTGTAATATCAAAGCTGGTGTCCCGTGTATAATAAAATCAAGTATTGAACCCGACCGACCGAGACTCACTCACTCACTCACTCACACAAAAAATCAATCATTCATTTACTCACTCGCACCTCCAAAGACACACTCGCTCGCTCACTCAGTTTCTGGCGTAATTCACTCACTCATGAGTAACTTTAACTTTAAAAAAAGTAGATAAGCGTACATTTAGATTACAAGAGTAATTAAATTTTGATACCTCTTTATATTCAGTTTGTCTGTTCGAGGAGTAGTCGATGGTGACATATAAAACAATCGGCGCCACAGAGAGCACGAGAATCATGAGGTCATACGGGTCCTCGTGCTTGACACCTTTCACCGTGTAAATCAGTGCAAAGCCTAAAATATATCAAAGCGGTCCTACATAGAATACTGTTTTTTTTCGTATTAAAAGTAACAAATAATTTGCAAAGCTTCCGCGAATAAGCATCTACTGTGTATATATTTACGAATAGACATTTCAACTTCACGAGTTCCCGATATTATCTTCGTGAATTCACATTTTTGAATTCATTAATTTACGTTTCATGAATTCACGATTTCAATTTCAGAAATTCACGAATTCACAGTTTCAACATTAAGTTTAACATGCGGCGGATGTTACATAACTCGATATACTACAGGTCGGGCAATAAGACCGTAGCAATTATCTCCCGTGCAAAATCAAATAAATATTACTATTGTTACAGCATGTAAAAATGTATGTAAAATTCACATTTTCGTTATCAACAAGATTTAAATTCAATATTCAATTGAGAGAGATTTTTAATCTCTTCACTAGTGATGGATCAAGTCTAAAATGTTAAATCATTACAATTGGATTTTTATCACACTTTATTATTTTTTAAATCTTATGTTGTATATAGACTATTTACACATACGACGAAAATGTGAATAATTATAAACATGTACGTCATGTAATAGGTGAAAAATATCTGTTTCCATTTCTTATGTAAAATGTGCAACTATAATGCATGAGATCATGTCAATTCAATATTGATGCTTGTTTGCCATATTATATATATATTGCATATTGTACCACATGGGTCTATGACCTTCTGGGAAAAGATAAATAAACTTGTTAAACTTCATGTACACATGAAAGACAATAATGAAGAATTGAAAAAATCTCACATCTTAAAAATATACACATTTTTGCAATAAAAACCACTTATCACTAGCCCACACTCTCAATCAAATAATTGAGATAAAATAATCAAACAAAGAAAAATAACGTACAGCAGTTGACAGCAAAAACAAAAAGGAAACTTGAGTCCTCGGACCGGAAACGATCTGTTATAATACCATACACAGCAAATCCGAGCCCAGTCAGAAGCCCGGATATTGAACCGACGAGATATAATATCTCCTTTCTCGAACATTGTGAACAATTGCGACCCTGAAAAAATACACACAGTTTATTTATTAAAAGCATGAAAGAATATTTTTTTTAATTATTACATTGTACAATTAATATTATTATTATTATTATTATTATTATTATTATTATTATTATTATTATTATTAAAATATCAACAGTAACTTTGTTGTTTCCATAATTTTATGGTCGAAACAGTTTTAACATTAGAATGAATAGTGTACATGTATATAAAATTTACGGGAACAAACGATTGTGGTTGTAACCGTTTTGTGCGGTGCCAGTTAGAGACAGTGCGTTTTCTCTAAGAACGAAAAGCGCAAAGCGAGACAGTACGCTGGTGACAGTACGACTGTACGATGTCAAAGCGAGACATTACGAAGGTGACAATACGATGGCGAAGGACCACAGTACGCTGGTGGCAATACGGCAGTACGATGGTTACAGTCCATCGTACTGTCACCATCGTACTGTCACACTGTCACCATCGCCCTGTCGTACTGTTCAAAGGTGCAAGTTGCATATATTTGACCAAACATATGTTTAATCTTGTTATTCATGTTACATAATATCATAATATAATATATTACAATGAGCATGTCACGACGGTCTCATCTTTTTGACCTGGGTGATTTCTGACTTTAGGGCTTTACTGCGGTAGTTTGCATGTAAATAAGGATCTGGTTATAGTCAGTTTTGATAGAAAAATATATATTGCATTGATTCCATGCGAAAATCCGACATAATTACCAATGGATGGAAAATTTTGACACCAAGAACGGAAATACCCATACTTTTTGCACTCAGATGTAGCATATCTTGTCTAAAAAATATAACAAATATAAAAAAATCTATTTTTATTTTTTTCATATATTGATAATTATTATGTTACATGAATTACAATATTAAACATATTTTAGGACAAATCAATGCGACTAGCACCTTTGATACTGTCACCATCATACTGCCGTACTGTCACCATCGTACTCTTGTACTGTCATCATCGTATTGTCGTACCGTCACCATCGTACTGTCGCCTCCCTGTAAGGCATGCGCATAATTGAATATAAACATGGAAGAAAACGTTATCCGTGTCATAAGGTCTCATTTTAACAATGGCCTTACACACATAAATTTGTGTACTGATGAGAATAGAGCAAGGTGAAGCTCGACAGTAATATGATGACAGTTTGACAGTACGATGGTGACAGTACGATGATGACAGTTTGACAGTACGATGGTGACAGTACGACAGAACGATGATGACAGTTTGACAGTACGATAATGACAGTACGACAGTAAGACGATGACAGTTTGGCAGTAGGATGGTGACAGTACGACAGTACGATAATGACAGTTTGACAGTAGGATGATGCCAGTACGACGATGACAGTTTGGCAGTACGATGGTGACAGTACGACAGTACGATGATGACAGTTTGACAGTAGGATGATGCCAGTACGACAGTACGATGATGACAGACAGTATGACGGTATGATGGTGACAGACAGTACAATAGTGACAACTCGACAGTACGATGGACAGACTGTCATCATCGTATTTTCGTGTTTTGGCATCGTACTATCGTATTGTCACCATCGTACTGTCCAGCTTCGCCGACGTACTGTCATGCTTCGCGCTTTTAGTTCTATAGAGAACACGCGCTCGCCCAAACTTAAACACCGTAGTTTAGCAAACATTTAGCAAACATTTAGCCAACGCGTCATTCATTTTAAGCATATTTAATGCATACAAGTGTTTTGGAATTTGAAAAATAAAAACATCAGATTTCGTCATTTAAGATATGCAGAATGAAGTCTTCACTATCAATGTGACTAAGACCTAGTTGCCTGCATTTTAAAACGATTTGTTCTTTACCGGTTTTCATTTCTTAATAAATTTGTGAAATTAATATGCTATTTTATCGCTAGTGAATAAAGCTGTTGGGGATACTAATAATAACTTTGTAACTTTTTTAAGCCATGAATCATAATCCTGCATGCATGTTTGTTTAAAAATTCCTACAAAATTGCTTTAAATATATCTTTATCACTGATTAATACTACATGTACATATGAAAGAAACAAAAAACAAAATATCGCAAAAACAAAAACAAAAAGGAAAGCTTTTTCTTGAATGTTATATTTATTCTTACTTACGCCATGAATGTCCAGTCATCAACAGAGCAACTTATATTATATAATTATATTAATTTTATTTAGGTTATTCCAACGTCTAGCTCATTCTAGATATTGCGCCTTTTTTCTTTGACATAAAAAGTAACTCTTTGCAATATATATTTTGAGTACGCTTCCCAGAACTTACTAGTACTAGCGCCTTATGCTGAACAATGAAAGGTGCGAACCAATTAAAGCTCTTGACTGACAGGCAGATTATCGTACAAGGTTATCACCCCATCATGAAAGTATTATATACTTACTGGTGTCATCGTTTCCTTATTGTCACAATCTAAACATCTGTATAGTTATTATATGACTGAAGTAAACATAGTCCTGCAAACAAAAAACGAAAACACACACACTAAAGTATATGAAATAGTAAATGGTTTCCCGCACATCACAGAAAAGATCACGTATGAGGCTTTGCGACCAGCATCCGCGCAGTCTAATCAGGATCCATGCTGTTCGCTTACAAAACCCTATAACAAGTAGAGAAACTGATAGCGAACAGCATGGATCCTGATCAGACTTCGCGGAAGCGCAGGCTGGTCTGGATCCATGCTGGTCGCAAACGCATTACGGGTTTTGTCGTGACGCGGCTCAAATGGTTTGAAAAGATCACGTATGAGGCTACAGGTGTCTGCAGTAATAACAGGATGATTGGTGTGCTATTCTGCATGCTAACAAACTAGAGGTCTTTAATAGCAAACATCATATTACATGTACTTATAAATAAAATAATTTTCCTCTTTCCACCCTGAATATTTGAACTTGGAGACATAAAATCTTTGTGAGATCAGTAAGAAAATGCACATTTTGCTACCATAACGATTTAGGAGAAGAATTTCATGTTCACTCTTGCTTAAATGTATACTGCATGAGTATTATGAGTGTCATAAAAAGGAACTCGCATGTCTATATTAATTGTTAATCAAACATTGTGGCCAACCAACAAGGTGTTCCAGTAAACCATGTGATACGCATTTTATTTAATAAACAACAAGCGATAAATACAATCATACAATAAACAAATAGTTTAATATATGTTCTGATTACATACAATCAAAATATTTGATAAACAGGTTTTCTATCAAAATATGTCTAAAATGACAAATCGATATTTTTGCTTTGTCATCTCTGTCAAATCACTTTTAATAAAACACTATAGTGATCTATGAAAAACTGGTTCCCGAATCTAATGACCATATGTATGTCACTGCTGATATAGAAATTAAATGGGATAAGTGGTCAATCAAATGCAGAGATATTGGCAAAAACTTTCGTCCGTCCTAGGACGACCAAAATAATCGTCAAAAATGTGGTACAGTCAAACCAAACCAGGCTTACCAAAACTACTTCAACGTTTCAGTAAAAACGGACTTAAGGGAAAAAACTGATTCTGAATTCAATACGGTTTCTTAAAGCTACATACCTCCAGATTAGCAAACATCAAACTTGAGAAGAATGACCTATGATTTTAAGAAAAGAAAAGATATTCAAGATTCAAGTTATAACTTATATGATATTTGTGAGTAAACACTGTTTTTGTAGTATTATCACCATATTTATATTGCGCGACTAACTCAGAGAGAGCTATTTTGCATATTTTGACCTCTTTTAGTCATTTACATGGATTTTAAGTGTTGTTTGCAATGTACAAGTTCATTTCTTACATTCATTCCACAGTATTTTACCTTTAAATACATTTACAAAATTTTCATGAAAATTAATATGAATCTGGATGCGTGCTGCTTTAGTCAGATACATAGAAAACAGGCTCTGTTTTAATGAATACAAGTAAATTACAGTTATACGAGAAATGGAGAATTTAAAATCTCAATCATGAAGATGTACAATGAATTACACGGCAAATCATATGTAGCAAACATGAACAATAAACTATTTACCTACGTTGTATACTATAAATCCACATAAAATTATATAACAAAAAAATGTAACCTGTAAAACTGAAATAATTTTTCACTAACAATGATACCCAAAAGACAATAGTACGAATATGTCTTTACGAAATTGTTTATCTTTCTATGAAAGTCCTCAAAATATTTAGGACACTGATTAGATAAGCATAATCTATCATAATTGTTAAATATAGAAATTTTGATTAAGCTACACCAACATAAAAGAAGGGATGAGGGATGAGATTGTTTGTGTGAAATTATATAAATGGTATTGCTGAAGATATTTTATTTTAAATATTGAATTTTGTGTTTATGAGTTCGGCATAAAATGTTTCTGCGATGCGTTTTTAGTGTGACACCACTGTGACATAGAAAACGTTATCCCATAAACTTAAGCCCGGCCATATACTGGTGCTATTTTTTGTTTGTTTGTTTGTTTGTTTGGTCTTTTGTGTGTGTGTGGGGGGTGGGGTGTTAGGTATTTGTTGTTGTTTTGTTGTTGTTGTTGTTGTTGTTGTTTTATAGTGAAATCACCAAACTAGAGTAGCTCGGAACACATTCACAATTCGAGTAAAAATTAAAAACAACGATTGCAGGACATAACATTCAACAACATCACTGTCACTGTATATAATCGTGATGCAACAAATGTCTTACTGTATAGACAAGTCACTTTCATGACTTCTTTCATTGTGAAGAATTATTTTTATGTATGGCCAGTCGCTTTTTGGGGGCTCACAGTGACTTCGATATTAAACCACGTGACCTGTGAAGAAGTCTTGCGAGTTTTAAGACTGTACATTGAAGGGATTCCGGACCTCTTGTTTTAATGTCAATACTTGTAGGGTTAGCGTCACCTCAAACTATAACTATTCAGACTGAAACCAACTTTATTCATATAAGTAATATTGTTTATTTTCAACATAACTATGGCATAATCAGTTATATACAAAAAGTGATATTTGATTATTTAACAAAGCATATGATAAGATAAGAAAATGTCCAAACATTTTAGAATAAGCACAACGAAATATCTAATCGTAATCTTGCCATTTATGTAAAAATAAAACGCATCTGAGTAAAAAATATGAATGTATTATATACAAATGTACATGTATGGTCATGAAAATATGTTGGGAACACTATGAATGTGAAATGTTCTCAACTGTTTGATTCTCTGTTTGCTATGTATGTAGATCTACGTATGTACTTACATAGAATTATACCCCTGATTATCACTCCAGATGTCCCGGTTCGATCCTGGGCAACACCCTTGTAATATTTCAGAGACACTTTAAGTGTTTCCTACCTACATAAAGGTGTCCTGGTAAGAAATCCAGGTAATCGTTGCATGTATCAGTGCTATACACCGGGCATATAAAAGAACTAAGGGATTTATTCAATAAGAGCTATAGGGACTGGTTCCCGGATTCCCTTTAATCTCATCGCTGTTTCTCAACTCGATGTATACAATGCATACCTGCTTAGTGTAATCATAACGATTTTGAAGCAGTATGATGTAGAAAATCATATAAGTATTTACATAAAAAAAGGTTACGAAATGACATACTATACTACATAATAAAAAAATTCACCAACACAATAAGCATGTGATAAAAAGCATAAGTAATGTACTGCAGGGCAAGCTTAAAGGGGGTATTTGACGTAGCTGAAAATATTCATCTTGTGTCCTCGTTCAACTTTCTAATTTTTCGCAGGAATACTCAATTATACATCTACAATCTTAACTTTGTGTAAGACAAATAAATGGCAGGTTATTTTTATGCACATAAAATAAACTTAATATACCGGTAAACTATAATGCTCTTAATAACTTTACACAGACGGGTATTTCTGTGATAATCTTTGTAGATTAGTATTTGAGCCGCGTCACGACAAAACCAACATAATGGGTTTGCGACCAGCATGGATCCAGACCAGCCTGCGCATCCGCGCAGTCTGATCAGGATCCATGCTGTTCGCTTACAAACCCTATAACAAGTAGAGAAACTGATAGCGAACAGCATGGATCCTGATCAGACTGCCCGGATGCGCAGGCTGGTCTAGATACATGCTGGTCGCAAACCCATTATGTTGGTTTTGTCGTGACGCGGCTCATTTCAAATCGCATAATGTAAATAATGCCTAATAAAGAATCTTACTTCATCTTACTTAGGTATAAGGCTTTTAACAAATATAAAAGGTTTCTGTTTGATTGCCGAGTAGAGTATTTCAAGCTAGGACAAATACACTAACTAGTGTCATACGTTCATTTCTGCAGCTATAATTCGAACTCGCCTTTCTCGACAAGTTCGTAACAAGTTGCCCGAGGTGTTCCGAACGTTTATAAACAACAAGCTGAATGAAAATATGAATATTAACAATTTCGCAGTTCCAAGTTGTGTCATTATGAGGAGCATTTAGCAATGATCAACTGGTACACAAAATCCGTTTTGAGTCAAATAAAAGGTTTTCGTGAACGAGGATCATATGATCAAATAATAAATTCCTTTGAATCAAGCTTGTTCTTGTTGTGGTTGTTGTGTTGAATTAACCGACACTTCCTCTGTCAATCTTCCATACACTGAAAATACAGTGACAATATCATGATAACTTTACACATTAAACTTTTACAAGTTTCTTTAAAAACTTGAAACACATTTTGCATATAATAGTGTATTCCGTTCCCAGTAAAGTGGACAACTTGAATATATATGCCTGTGTTTTATTTTTATCAAGACAGTCGTTTTTTACTATGTAAAGTTTATCTAATCTTGCTTGAACCGGAAGTTCTAGCCAGGCCAGCCTGCACAGTCGGACTAATCTCTCTACTGTAGGTAGCTCAACTTCTGAGATTTTATATAAATATCTCTTAAACGTTTGAATGGATTGGTTCAAATAAAAAGCATGACAGAGCCAATATACATTTGGCAAGTTTAAAGTTATTCTGGTTGGCAGCCTAGGAGTATTTATTCATTTTGTGAAAAGATTGTGAAAATGTCAAACTGATGTCATCGGGAGAAGCAAATTTATTAGAATGGTTTTATATGATTTAATAAACAAAAACAATAAAACAACAACCAGTCCCAACCTTTCTGTGTCAAGCCTTTACCAAAGTTGAAATATGCTTTGAATCCAAAATAAAGAGTAGCAGCTCTGACCAGTAAACACGCCACAGCGGCCACAAAAATCACAGCGTTCAGTGAAGTTCTCGTCTGCGTGTTGTCGCCTACAGATTGTAAGTCTTTAGCTGCCTGTAAAAATACAGTATCCTTAAATATGTGATAAATGAAAAAATGTTTTTTTTTCTAAAACAATGTAATTCGACAGACTCGCTGGTCATTGCAGGGAAAGATGGATAACTTACGTGTTACCGTTTATCGATTTTTAAACCTGACTGATTCCCCTTGAATCCGGCGTTTATCGTAAAATTGAAAGACAGTTGTGGGTATCTTTTCCAAACATTTGAGTCCAAATTTTTAAAGGAGATCCAGTAAAGTATTATTCAAAACAAGAAAATAAAGTTGCTAGCAGATATTAAACTGAACTGATCTACAATGGGCGCAATTTCCATAAGTTTTTTTTTCAAATATTGACAAAAACATTAGAAAATATCATTTGGATATTCTTCTATAACAATTTATTCTACAACAATTTTAATCGGATAAAAATAAATATGTTACATCCAACACTAACACACAGCATCTAAATATAATTATTTTGTAGTTTGAATACTAACAACATAAATATTTCTGGTAGGACAGACCTTCCATTGTGGACCAATTCACCTTAACGGACATAAAATTGCCCTTTGATTAAATATCATTAACAAAATTCACAGAAAGACACCTTTGGCTAATCATGTTATGCTAAAAATTCTCATCAAACCAGCATTGGTTTGTTAAAACTGGCGTTAAATATTGGCGTGGTGAAGCACCATGTTCAATATATAAAATCACCTATAATATAAATACATTGATTTCTTACCCTCACTATCAGATAGGTAGCATACGCCGGCATTGTGATCCAAATTACAGCGTATGCTATAGCTACTGGTTTATTTTCTATCCGCACCTGAAAGTCAAGATAGCAATCATTGAAAAGGGCTACAATGTAGATCATATGTCAAAAATAAAAGACGGTATTTATTGAACGGAAGTAGATCATATCTCAAAAATAAGGGAGAGTGTTTCTTTGAACACATGTAGATTATATCTCAAAAATAAGGGAATGTCAGAAACGGACAATCGAGATTACGGTTTTCATTCATATATCTAAAGTGTTGCGGAACAAAATAATTCACTAGCTTAGACTGTTTACGTCATTGATACGTACACTGACACACTGGTTGTATCCTATTTATATTATGAATGGATTTGTAATTTAGAATCTAAGAAAATATATATTGTAAAATATAATGTCATGAAAAATTGAAAATGAAAACTTACTACCTCATTATAATTATGTAATGTTTACCACATTAATTACACAGTAGAGTTGATAAAAATCAGTCGGAAAAAAACATCTTTTGTAAAAATGGTTATTTTTTTTTTTAAAAAAAAGAGGAAATTTATATAGTAAGCGAGAAGTCCCTGTTAACGAATAAGGAAATATAGTACACCTATATCAGAAATTTCGTCAAATTATTTCAATGATATGTGGACCCCATCACGACCGTGCTGAAAGTATAGTATTTTTTCTTTTTTTTAATCATGCCTTGAGGTTATTAGCTTAACGATTGGATAATTACCGTGTCTCAAAAGTTATAAAATAGGTCACTGGTTAACTTTAGTTCTAATTATTATTACAAACAACAAGATGTTGTGAACGTTACAGTGACGTCATTTCTCTGACGTTTTTTAAAACTATTCGTTCGATAACGTTCGATGCCGGTAATTCAAAATATACATACGGAGAGATATCCTGTGACAAAAGAAGCTAGGCCAAACACCAGGGATAATGGTAGTAAGATAGTGTCTTCTAGATCCAGTTTCTGTCCAGACGTCAAAATAAACAACGCTAGAGATAACTGAAATAAAGTGAAATTAAGTATACACCAAAAATTTAAACGCACATAACAACAACAGCACGTGTAATATTTTGATAACATGTTTTTCAATGAGATAACTAGTCTATTTCTTTAAGCCCGAAGAGAATCCTATTCCGGCCAGCAAAAATCTTGTCACTTTTATAGAGTAGTTTAAAGGACACTTGAATAATTATAAAATCAAAGTGAAGGCAGTTATTCTCCTAATTCTCGCATGCGTATATATTATAAATTTACACATGTTATCATACAGAACGGCGTCACAAAGGTCAACTTGCAATAAAATTCTTTAAAATGACAATATAAAGTGGTACATTAATTGTATATCAGGCATTCTTTAAAGTGGAAAGGTTTAAAGTTGGCCTTTGTATCATTATACATTGTAATAAGAAATCAAGGACATATTTAATGTTAAAAATTATATATCCGTTAATAAGTACTATAAGTACAGTAAAAGTATATTTTTACTATTTACTATTTCAAACGGAAACAACTTTATCCCTGATTACATATGACGTAAAATGATAACAGGAAGTAACCAGCTTCAAGGATAGGTTACTACGTATTTTTCCTGGTCATTGCAGTCAAATAATTCTTTGAATACCATTTTATCTTAATTATTCCAAAATAAGTTTAAACGGATTCGTTTCCTCCGAAATGTATTTTGGACCATACATTTGAACTTTCGTTGCATTCAGTGAGCCAAAAATGAAGAAAGAAATTCAATTTGTGATTCAGCTCACAGGGATGAGACGCTTTGATCTACCGCTAACCCCCCCCCCCCCCCCACCTCGCCTTCCAGTCCCTGCCTACAATCCCTCAAAAATATAAATAAAAGAAATTTCCCACATTAAGTATTCATAACAACAATAATATGACACTATAAGGCAATTTTTCATAATACCTAGAGATATTATGAAGTACACTGTATTATGAAAATTGCGTAAGAGTGTTATATTATTGTTACTATGAAGACTAAATGTGGAAAATGACTTTTATCTATATTTATTTTTTTGTTGTTGTTAAGGGGGGCTGCAGCAAGGACTTGAAGGCAGGGGGGATAAGGATAATATCAGAACAAAAGGTCTTATCCCTGTAATTAAGCTACATATGAAATTGCAGTGAGGTTCTTTTATAAGGATGAACACAACTTCTCTCAAGGATGAACACAACTTCTCTGTTCATTCCGATCACATGACCATGTCTCACATGTAAAAAGGTTAACAATTAAAACAACATTTAATGCTAAACTACATAACAATTCATATATTACCCATTCGTAGACTGAGAATACATATAAATAAAGCAAAGAATACTATTAAATTGACGTGGGGGAATTTTGCAAACTATATCTCAATAAAGTGTTCTTACCGAAACTTGCAAATCAGCTTTTAAAAGATCAAAAAACACAAACATTGTTCTGCACAATTCTTGCAAAGTACCATGCGCCCCGACAGTTCGAAATATCAGGTTTTTCGACTCATGGTAGTTCCGTGCTATTAACACGCCCATGACGATTACACATGGACTTAGGGAGGAAGACACGATGAGTCGAGCCTGAAAAATATATCAATTAAATGTTTCATCAATAACAGCTCCAACTTACAAATGAAAGATATAAAATAGTTCCATACATAGGCAATATTGATTTCCGGTGGCATATATAAGGAAAGGAGTCAGTGAAAATAGCAGCATCTTTATCCATTTTAAATGCAGTGGTCCATCTTACATGTGTTCCTTTGAAAGGTTTTATTTTCACCTGTGACCTATTCATAGATTCCTAACATGTCTTATTCTAATTATTAGACTAGTGGATTAGAAAAAGCATTTTCCCACAACATATTTGGAACACAAAGGTTTGTGGTTAAATTGATTGATATTCAAATAAAAAGTCAGAGTATTTATCTATCATTTGCTACTATAGCATAGTCACATCCCTTTTTGTCTATTTCAATAAGTTTAAATCACACAAAACACATTAGTGAGTAAATTGACACCTTGGTCAGAGAATATCTACAAAAATAATGGTCCAGGAACAAATCGGCCATATTGGTTTTCGCTGACTGACAATGGTTTTACAACAGTAAGCAAAGCTGTTCTGTTAACAATAGGTACCGCTCTAAATGTTATTTATACTTAACTATGTGATTAATTTTAATAAATGTGTATAAAACAAATACAATTGTATTGTAATACTGATCATCACTAATGATATGGTATCTGATAATGATTCATATTTTATCTTGACTTACCAGTTTATATGGACCTTTTGCACTGATAGCGTAATTAAGCACTAGGTACAACCAAACCACGGCCGTAGCTAGGACAAGTATACCTATCTCATAAGGCCGCTCAAAGAAGACGCCGTTTAAAACGTAGTAAATGCAGAATACTGTAAAATAAATATGTTATACATCACATTACTGAATGTTTAACTACAAAAACAACATATTATAATAAAAATTATCATCATCACCATCAGCTGCAGCAGTAGAATAAAATTATCATCATCATCATCATCATTCTCGCAATCTAAATCACAATTAGCATAATTATGATGATAATCATCATCATCATAATAATAATAATCATCATCATCATCACCTACCTATACAACCAGCATCAATGTCTATCACTACCAATATCATAAACAACCAAAACAACAACATATTAACATCATCATCTTCTGTAAAAGCACGTCCAATCATTATCATCATCATTATCATCATCATTATCATCATCATTTTTATCAACACCACAATTATTTAGCACCGTTGAATGTTATGATTAATTACACCGTTTTAGAAAACTTTATATCAGATGAAGATGGTGTCCGCATTAAACACGTTATAACATTATTTTATGGGAACATGCATTTTTATAACTTTTGATTCTACCAGAAGACACATTACAACTTCCGCTATATATTTAAACAAATCCATTCAAAAAACATTGCCAATACTTACAAATATTAATGAAAAGCACTAAAGCAAACGTAAAATCTGCGCTATCTTTTGGTGACACAACCAACCGTTCTATTGTGATACCAAGGGAGGCAACCAAACACAACAAAGTCACAACCAGAAAAACTTTCTCAAGCTTCGTCAGTCTCTCACAACTCTGAATCTGATATAGAGGTAATTAAATAGTCTTTGTTTAAATTATAAAATATACTGCTCCAGCTTGACCTATTATCATATTTTGGACAGAATACAAATGACCCATTCTTAAGTGTTTATATCATTTGTAATTTGCTATAAGAATGTATTTACTTAATTGCAATAAACGTTTGAATTGAATTGAATTGAATTTAATTGAATATAGCACTTATTCGATTAAACACACATAACCTGCTATAAATCTTGATAACGAATATATCATATTCAAAAGTTGCTTCCTTCGAGTAACATAGGGAAACATTGTACTTCACAGAAATATGCAGCAGCCGTGAATTATGATAAATATATAAGTCACGCACAGAAGTTATAATATAAATAGCTACAGTATTTTGATATATTTTGATTTATAATAGTTAATAAATTTTAATCGATATTTAGAGCCGCTCTTCTTTAATGATTAAAGTGATGATAAATATGTGGCATAGGAAAAATCAGAGTTGGGTGACATTTTCAACAATAATGACCAATCGCAACTACTCGGCCCTTTCCGTCAGTCTTATGAATACACAGAACGGGTCTAACCTACGCTTAGAAACTAAACATGTAAACAAATAGTAATTTAATGCTGGGAGTTGTTGACAAGTTTATTTCCAATATATGTAGTAAAAGTCCACCTAAAATGAGTGAATTCATAGGAACAAAAGCAAACAATACATTATTTATATATTTATTATTATGGTTGTAGAAACCGAAAGTACAAAAAACCAACCTGTTGACATTTAGGCTTAGATGTTCAAGGAGTCCCGGGTTCGAATCCCGACCAGGCCAAATTATAAATCCAATGAAATGTTTTTTATAATAACGGTAAACAGTAAACTGCTCCCAACTCAATGCGGAACAAGGATTTAACAGGGGTTCGTGTGTACAATGTAGCTAAAACATTCTAAAATATTTTGTCATTTTACATTTGTACATTTTTCGTACTTTAATAATTGTTATTGATTTACTGGTTATTTGATTAAATTACATTCTGCAATCGTCAAGATAAACTGCAACATTCTTTCTCTTATAAAACGCATGTCAATTTCTTAAAGCATGTGTGCACTTGATTTAGATAAACTTTAAAGCTGCGTTCAATTTATTCAACATGCATGTTTATCTATTGAACAACAAGAAATAATATATAATATTTTTTTTAAACATTTAAATACTCATTTCACAATGTATTTAAAATTACCCATGTATAAATCAACAACGTTAATTAAAATATTAAAGCATACTGTACAGTGTATGTATACATTTACATGTATTTACATGTTTTCAAAATAAGTTGAATCATACAAAAGTATAAACTTAACCGAGAAACAAAATAATTTAAAATGACTTATGATCTTGTGTAAAACTCATAAAATATATGTAAATGATTGTCCTGATATTTGAAGAATATTTAAAGCGATCCAATTTTCGTATTACATAAAGTGCAAAGTACATGTAGCTCTGCTACATCATAAGTATGTCGATAAAACATCAACTAATTATACCTTCCCAAAACACGTATCTTTGGTGGAATCTGTAACATTGATTCCAAGATCAGCAAAGCTTATAGGTCCGTCGCTTTCCTCCATTTCTCAGTCACTCATGAATTGGCAATTCACATTAATTTTAACAACTTATGTTTAACTTCAAACAATCTTGTTTACTTTTCAGCTATTTTATTCAGCTTGCTAATCATGTAAACAAATGATAATGTTCTGTCGGTGTGGATCACGTAATGAGGAGTGTATTCAATATTCATCAAATAAATAAACAACTAACTAGGAAGTAAAATGAAAGTGAAACTAGAATTACAAGAGTGCCCTCCCTTGTAGGCCATGACATTTGTTGCCGACCTTGACCTGTCAGACAGAAAATCGTTTCGCTGACCTTTTAAGTTTAACTAACTGTTTCTCCGGTAATATTAGATAGTTTTGTTGTTGTTTTTTCTTTAATGTTTAAGTACCTTTTATTTTCTGTATTGTTCTCATTACTGAAGTGAATCAGATTAAAATTGCGTGAAAATGTTTATGTCACAGAAACCGGAATATAATAATTTCGGATACAATTAATTCAGTAATTGCACTGAAAATGTGGTTAAGCTGGCATTGTAAAACATTGTCAGAAAATGTCCGTATGGCATTAGAACGCATATTAAGTTACTAGTCTTTCAAGTGCACATTTCTTTTTCAACAGTTTGCTAGCTTTATTACCGATTATCGGCTGGAAAAATAACTACTAGATAACGATCACTGAAATAATATCATAATTAGTAATTAAGTAAGTGTGTGATTATTGTTTAATGACTTATTATAAGATAATAAGTATTGTTTTTTTTTAATAATATCTTTACTTTTGTAGATGAACCTTTACTGAATTCCAACCATCTACTGGACAAAAAGAAATCATTTTATAATGTAGCTAATAAACAAACACAATATAAACATGAAACTTTTACAGTACAGAATAAAGTTTGGTACATGATCTTCATTTTCTGCCGTTTCCTTTTCATGACCGATTTTGATATAGCGATAAATATGGCCAAAAAATGGGTACCAACAAGCAATTAAGGTGGTCAGACCCTTCAAGACAGAGTTATGGCCCTTGATTAGTTACATGTATGCAGTATGCATATAGAGCACTAATGGTTTCCTGCCTATTTCTATGCAACTGCTGGCTGGAATTCAATGAACTTTATTGGAACAATTAATAACAAGGGGGAGATGAGGATATCCTTGTCTTGTTCTGGTCAGACCCTTCAACATAGAGTTATGGCCCTTGATTAGTTGTGCAGTATGCATATAGAGCAATATTGCTATTTCTTTTCAACCGCTGGATTGATTTCAACAAGACTTCATGGGAACCATCAATACAAAATTGAAAAAGGAAATTTGCATCTCATTGGCATGTCTGATAATACTATTTAACTTGGAGTTATGCCCTGAAATTTTATCATGTACAAAGAATATCATATTTTTGTATGAATTTTTTTTTGGCAACAATTGATGGGATTGCAGCATATTTATGTCAATCGTGAATTTTCAGAACAACTGACTGGATTTCAGCATATCTATGTCAATCCTGAATAAAGACTTATGTCTTCAGTTGTTGTGTTAGTAATAACAAGTATTGGCTGGGGTTATAAATTCATCAAATTTGCTTGTTGCCCTTGACATAGTAAATTTTTGTAATTTTTCAACTTGAGTCATGCATACCCCAAAAAATATTTGACATTGAGTCATGAAACTTTTCAGAAATGTTGGTCAGCATGTTTTGTTGTGTTTGCTTGTGGATTTATTTATCATATGTAGAGTAATTGCCCTTGACTTAGTATAAACCATCCCAAAATGTTGTGTTATGTGTACTTTGAGTGCTTGAGCTAGAATAAAACAAACTTTAGTATTACAGGAATATATTATATTGATCAACATGAAAAGCTGTGCACCTGGGGTTTTTCGTGTTGATTTTGTCAGTTTTGTTAGAGTTATTGCCCTTGACTTATGTAAATTTGCAATTTTCAACTTGGCCATGCACAGCTCGAAAAGTTAGAGTCAAAACAAAAAACAACAACAATGAAGTGTTGGGGCACCTGTGACCTGTGGACACACATTTCTAGTTTTAACTCTTTATTTATACAAATACCCATGTGTAAGTGATGTTAAGTTTTAATAAAAAAGCATTTCTTAAGCATCGCATAATGAACTCATCACAAATTTGATTGTTAAACAATATCATCAATAAATTTTATCTTCAGGCAGTTGGAATGTTGTCACACAAGTCAAGGTTGTTGTACAGTGTTGGTCAGAGATTTGGGGCTATTATTCACAAACAGCTGAAGGCAACAGTAGCTAGCGATGTGAATCCATTTTACTATCAGGACATTCTAGAAACAGAGAAAAAGCCTGACATACCTTGGAAAAAGTTAACAGGTACTTTAATAAATCACAGCAACTTGTATAATGTTTTGTTCTGTAAAGTATGTCACACAAACTGAGACATAAATACATGGTACTACCATACATGTCAGTATATTCTTTCAGTCATTTGTGAAAATGTTTGGGACACTTTGACTGTGAAATTAAGCGCCATATTGCCATTGTTTGTCAGAATATAGTCCTATGAAATACTGCTGAAATTTAGCTATTTAATGGACTTAAAAAGATTAAATTATGTTTGAAAGTCTTGATTCATAATAAATAATCATGGTTAAATTTTTATATCTCTGTTTCTCATGTTTTTTAGTCATTTATAATTTTGTCAATGACTACAATTTGACAATTGTGAATGCGAATTTCCATTAAACAATTTTGTATTGTAAGGTTTTTTTTATACACCTGAAGAAACTTTTGGACATACTTGTATAGCATTTTTAATTGTCAGTCGGTCTATCCAAGCAAACATCCAGAGGTGTATGAGCTTCATTCTGTCCATAATTTTAGGAAAAAATGAAAGAAACTTTTATGATCACCATTAAGTAACTAGGCCACATGTAAAAAAGTCTTTGTTTGCTGTCTCCCGACCCTACTTTTTAGAGTTGGGTAGGTAGGGATTTTTTTTTTTTTTTTTTTTGGAAATACATAAATGTTTTTTTGGTTTGATTCTGTCTGTTGGAAAAAACTATTTAATATATTTTGCATGTGAATAAACATTTTAAAATTGATATATCTTACTTTTTATTATGCCACCGCAGCATCTGCGATGCGGTGGCATATAGCGATTCACCTGTGTGTGTGTGTGTTTGTTTGTTTGTGTGTTATATAGATTATATAGTGAACTTAAAAAATCTTCTTGTGAAAAACCACTAGTCCAATTTCAACCAAACTTGGCAGTATTGATCCTTGGGTGAAGGGCTTCCAAAGTTGTTCAAAAAATTTCATTCCATGCAGAAATCTGGTTGCTATGGCAACCAAAAGGAATTATAAGAATAAATTTAAAAAATCTTCTTGTAAAGACCCAAAAGGCCTAGAGCTTAGATATTTTGCATAAGGCATTGTCTGGTAGACCTCTACCAAGATTGTTCAAATTATTGCCCTGGGGTCAAAATCGGCTCCGCCCCGGGGGTCATTGATTTTCACTATATGTACATATAGTAAAAACTTAAAATACCTTCTTGTAAAGACCCAAAAGGCCTAGAGCTTAGATATTTTGTATAAGGAATTGTCTGGTAGACCCTTACCAAGATTGTTCAAAATAGAGCCCTGGGGTCAAAATCGGTCCCGCCCCGGGGGTCATTGATTTTCACTATATGTACATATAGTAAAAACTTAAAATACCTTCTTGTAAAGACCCAAAAGGCCTAGAGCTTAGATATTTTGCATAAGGCATTGTCTGGTAGACCTCTAACAAGATTGTTCAAATTATAGCCCTTGGGTCAAAATGGGCCCAGCCCCGGGGGTCATTGGTTTTCCTTATATGTATATAGTAAAAACTTATAGTAAAAACTTTAAAAAAATTTCTTCTAGCAATTGACAAATGCTACAGGTTAGATATTTTGCCTGAAACATTGTGAAGTGAACTTCTAGCAAGATTGTTCAAATTATAGTCCTGGGATCAAAATTGCCCCCGCCCCGGGGGTCATTGATTTTCAATATATAAATATTGTAAAAAATCAAAAAATGTTATTGTCTGCTTAGAGCTTTAATATTTGTGAGAATATTATTTGGGAGAAAGCTACAGCTTAGATATTTGACTTGAAATGTTGTTTGGTGGACCAGTATCAAGATTGTTTTGAATTAAACCCTTGGGTCCAAAATTTCGCCTTGCCCAAGGGGACAGTGACCTACTTTCTTGTCCTTTGATGTACAGCTATGAAATTTGAACCATGTGCACAGATTAAGATGTATAGTGAACTTTGATTTCAGCTGACCTAGATTTCGACAAAGTGTCTTACTGTGTTGTCCTTGTCTTACTGTGTTGTAGTCATGAAATTTAGGCTGTGTGAAATATGACCTTCACCACCAAATTCACTAGACTCGAGTGAATTGATATATTCCTACTCTGATCTTTTATTGAGTTAACAACAGATTTAACCACTAATCTGATAATAAGAATTAGATAGGTTAATGATCTTTGTATTATGACAATCTTCAAAATTGTATAGAAACAAAAAAAATCTGTTCCCTACACTACTATTTGGTGTTGTATTAATGCGGTGGCATAGCATTTTTCTCAAATGCAATCTTGTTTAAGTTTGTAGATCTTCCAATTAGTCAATACAAAAAGTATAGTTCTTTTTAATAAAAATACATGTAACAAAAGCAAATTTCGAACATTTACCCAACATGTGAGAGGATGACTAAAACACTCAAATATACGTGGATGACTGGAACACTCAAATATATTATGCAAAATAACTACTGAACAACAAAAGACATCATTATACATCAACAATTTAAAGTCTGCTTACATTTTATCTTCACTTAATGAATAGTATTATTTAAAGTAACAAAACCAGGAAAAAAACTTCAAACACTATGCAACTTCAGACAAGTAAACAGTTAAGCCACAGTCCTAATTGTGGAAATACCCACAAAATTTAGGTTCACATTATTCATTTTTTATAGGACATCTATGGGGAATGTTTTTCTTGTGGACAGTGATGCATTTCTCACAAACTGGAAGTACAATCCTATACTTTGTTAACAGTTCCGGATTTCTCTGTGGTTCTAGCTCAACACAATGGGCACAAATACCTGGTCCAATGTTGGAGGCACAGTAAGGGAACTCCACATGAGATTGGCATGACATCTACAGTTGTACAAACACTCTCCCTTAATGCAGCACATCTCCTATGAAAACAGACAGAAGGCTAATTAGACTTTAATATGCAATACAGATTTTACCAAAAATGCAATTATTTTAACATTTTAAAAATTTTTAATTATACAAACACCATGGGAAATATGTAAGAAAGAATAAAGTCAGGTTTCTACTTTCAGTTGATTATGTAAAAACATTTTGTCATCACTGTTTCAAGAAAATAAGCACAACAATGTGCAATATCAATACTTACCATCAACTGTATTGACTGAAACACAGCTGTAATCAAATTTGTTTTTTAAACTCAAGTTTGAAAATGTTTGTGTACTTAAATATTTCACACCATATAGAATATTAGCAATGAACTACCATCATTTGCACATTGTGATTTCTAATGTAAATCAGATCTTGATTCAATGCTATCAATATACCCAAGTTTTCATTTTATAAGTCAAAATATCACATCAAATTATATTGTACTTCATCTTTTCTCGTTTTCATTTTCTGAATCTAAAAGATTCATTATTTATATCCAATTCATATTGTACTTGAGTATTACTTTTGCCTGTTACAATTTTATAAGAGTAAACTCTCTTACATATTTAAGACGGTCCATCAAGCACCTTATTGATGGTGTCTGCACCAAATGTTTGTTTTTTTAATGGAAACAAAGTTTTGTCAAAATATTAAAAATTTGGTTGTGTGAAATAAAGAGGTTATACATTATTGAGCAGGTCCTACACTATGATTATTTTAGACTCAAAAATAGCTGCTAGCACTATAATCCATTTAGGTTTAAAGTAGTCACAAGGTTGTGTAAAACTGTTGTTTCTTCTTTTATGTTTGATTTTACAAGTCGTAATAAAAAAATCAAGCAATCCATGATAAATACACTTTCATTTTCTGGATGACGTCTGGTGACCTTAAGTTGTATATTCTTGGGTCATGGTGGTAGTTACATAATCCTTCATTTGACACTCATATTCAGTTGAAATTATTGTCAATTTGTTACTATCTATAGTAACATGTGTATTAAAAGAAAATATATTTTGTATAATGTGTAGGTGACTATGTGTCAACTTTCGAGGTGAAGGGAAAGAAATGTTTACAAGTAGAGCCAGAAGCTCTCACTATGATAGCAGAGCAAGCCATGGTAGATATCGCACATCTTCTTAGACCAGCTCATCTACAGGTATTGTTTATAAACTAATGAACCATAACTTGATATATATAATTGAGCCGCGTCATGACAGAACCAACATAGTGGGTTTGCGACCAGCATAGATCCAGACCAGCCTGCGCATCTGCACAGTCTGATCTGGATCCATGCTGTTCGCTATCAGTTTTTCTACTTGTAGTAGGGTTGGTAAGCGAACAGCATGGATCCTGATCAGACTGTGCAGATGGGCAGGCTGGTCTGGATCCATGATGGTCGCAAACCCATTATGTTGGTTTTGTCGTGACGCAGCTCATGTATATATATATGTATATGTATACCTAACCTTAAGGTAGTAAAATAAAATTTCTGAACTCTAGAGTCTCAGAATTATCACTTGTCAGTGTACATTGTAAACCAAATACTTTAGATCTAAGTTTGAACTAAGAAAGTTTCTTTATAACCTTGGACCCAGTACTCTTGATAATTTTTTTCAAAATGCTCAGAGATAGCATGATATCTGCCATCAGTCATTGACTCATTATCCCCCATAGATCTCTGTAAACAACATCTCTAGTATTGGTGATAAAAAAGTTTGTTCTGATATGTCAAGTGTTGGTGCTTGTCTCTTTATAATTTTAATAGCATGGATACAAAAAAAAATTTATTTACAGAAAGTTTATGAATATATACACTAAATTGTAATAAACTTTTTGAAGCATAGCTCATCAAGCCACTTTTATTTGTAAATCAAAACATTTGTTAGCCCTGTTACTGCAATTATACACATTGTTAAGATTTAAATCTATATTGTTACAGCAACTGTCAAATATTTTGAAAGATCCCGAGTCATCTAGTAATGACAAGTTTGTGGCTTTAGAGTTGCTGAAGAATGCAAGTATTGCTGCTAACATGGTACTTCCTGGCTGTCAAGATACTGGAACAGCCATTTGTATGGGTAAGATAGATATAACATTCTGTTTCAGAAGCACTTTATATGACTTGGCTGAAATTTTTAGTAAATATTATGACAATATATGAAATATGTTCATTTAAAAACAAAAAATACACATAATGTTTACTAGGCCAGCTGCTAGCCTGCTGCCGAACTTGTGCCTAAGATAATACATGCTCTTGAGACACAGGAGGTATTCTCTACCAGTAAAGCTCGAAAGTTCACATATGATCTTGACAGAAGTTGTAACAAAGTGTTGCCAAGTTGTGACATATATTTGTGCCTGACCCGTTTCCAGGAATATCAATATGGAATTTATTACTTTCTGAACAACTAATATCTGATAATCACTTTCACTGCCATCAGTTTGGGTTTACCCATTCCCCAGGTGATATTTGCTAACAAAACGGGTAAAATTAAAAAATTTCATTATATGATGTATTGAAGTTGTTGTTGTTGTTGTTTTTTGAGAAATAATGAAATACCTCTCAATTAAGGTTTTTTTTATATATTTTTATATACATCTGTCTCAAGTTTCATACAGACTTTTTTCAAGGCAAAAATAACTGGCCTAGCAGTTGAAGAGATTATTGACAATAGTTAGAATTAGCTGTAACTGTACATTGTCAGTTATTATAATGAAGTTGTTGAGATATCACTTACAACAGATATAAAATAGTTTTGCACCAAAGAGTGATGATAAAATTGAAGGCAGAATGTTTCAGGTTTAAGTTTATGTAGGTGTAGATGATTGAACATTAGTTTATGTTTGTAGGAAAGAAAGGACAGTATGTATGGACAGAGGGCAATGATGCCGAGGCTATATCTAGAGGTATCTACAACACTTACACTCAGAGAAATCTCAGATATTCACAGGTATAATTAAACAATATGAGCCGTGCCATGACAAAACCAACATAATGGGTTTGCGACCAGCATGGATCCAGACCAGCCTGCGCATCCGCACAGTCTGATCAGGATCCATGCATGCTGTTCGCTATCAGTTTCTCTACATGTAATAGGGTTTGTAAGCGGACAGCATGGATCCTGATCAGACTGGGCGGATGCGCAGGCTGGTCTGGATCCATGCTGGTCGCAAACTCATTATGTTGGTTTTGTCGTGACGCGGCTCATATAAATATACATACTCTTTCTGTAAGTTCTTAATCAGACAGATGAAAATTGTTAGAACAATGTTTACTAGTTAGAAAGATTATGTTTCTGATACGTGTCAAAATTAGATAAGAATTAAAACAGTAAAGTTAATTCACCATAGTAAAACACAATAATACCTAGTAACATTGATGGATACTTGTTTATTTTCTAACATAATCTAAGTAATACTACCTCAAATAAAAAATAACACCTCATTTAAATTTATGAATAGGACAGACTTCTTTTGTGGAAGTTTTCAACATTGTTTCTATTTTTAGAATTCTTGTACTCCTAAAAGCTCTTAATGCAGTTCACTTCCAGTTTTGTGTTAATTTTTATCATAGCTAAAATGTAAAAAATGTTATCAAATGTATTAATAAAGTGATTAAGCCTTATCCGAGACACTTGCAATCTACAGAAACGCTTATAATTTGTCAATTTATGCAAACAATTCCCTTACTCGGGAGGATTTTAGAGATTGTATTTATAAATTCTGTATTTTTTTGCTTTATATTTTCAAAGTTTTACCTCAATAATGACCATTTGTCTTATACACTATGAATTTATTTTCGTAAGTTAAAAGGTTTGAAGATTGAGTTTACATATCTAGAGGCATGTCTCTTTAAACTATGAAAAAAAAGTGCTTTATGTAATGAATTCTCTGATTTTTAAAATAACAACATTCACCCATGAGATTTTATTGAGAGAAGATATTATAATACAGGTATCTGCACTAGACATGTATAAAGAGGTGAACACGAAGACAAATCTACCAGCTCAGATTGAGATTTATTCTACAAACAGCAACCAGTATGACTTCTTATTTATTGCTAAAGGAGGTGGATCAGCCAACAAAACATTCTTATATCAACAAACAAAAGCACTCTTGAATCCTGAAAAACTTCTCAAATTTGTTGATGAAAAAGTTAAGGTGGGTAACCTTTAACTCAATTTTATTCATTACTTTATCTTCTTTAGCTGGCATACAATGTATATTATATCCAGTCATTTTCAATAATTTATCATTAAATTTTAATTATTGTAGGGCTTTTACAGGTAAAGTGTCCAGTTTAAATAAGCTTTATCTGTACAGTAAAAACCCTCAATTAAGACCACCATCGGGTCTGGACTAAAGTGGTCTTAATTGCGGGGTGGTCTTAATTGCGGAGATTCTTATCATTGCTTACACACGATATGACCAGGGCCTATTTTAGTCATTTTGTATGAACAAACAATATATATCTTAACCTGCAAATACAATATAAAGAAATTTGATTATTTTAATAATGTTACATCACATGATGGGAAGAAACAAGTATTTCTGAAGAAATTTGATATCAAATTTTCTGAATTTGTTGGTTCTTAAATGTGGATAAGTGAGGTGGTCTTAATTCTGGATCATGTAACCATTGACATAAAGAACAGAAAATTCCGTTCTTTTAAAAACTGGTCTTAAAAGCGGGGTGGTCTTAAATCCGAGGTGGTCTTTAGTAGGGATTCTACTGTAATTGGATGGATATTGATTATGTTTTCTAAGTATCAATTATAGAGATTCATGTATAATGTTTAATTTTGTTATACCATACAAAATTTAGTAATGGACAGTTTCATCAATTTTATCCAATAGTCATGATCATATATTTAGGTGTAAGATCATTACAGATTTCAGTATTTCTATGTTATATGGTCCAGGGGAGGTAATCATTGTATGATTTGACTAAATGATTGAAGAAGTGGTTTTATGTTTAATAATTTGCTTTTGGTTACCATGCTAAATTTTCCAATATTAAAGGCATGAGCAGTTTCAAAAAAATATTTTTAAAAAGAATCATCAACTAAACTATAGATAACAAATGCCTGTTTGTTTAAACCTATTATTATAAAAACATGTTATGTTGTATAATTATTTACATTTTATACTTTACTAGACCCTTGGCACCGCTGCTTGCCCACCTTATCACTTGGCATTTGTAGTGGGCGGTACATCAGCTGAGTTTAATCTGAAAACAGTAAAACTTGCATCAACTAAATATCTTGATACATTACCTACATCAGGTAAGTTACCTGTTCCTAACATTACAGCATAACTAGGAATATCTGTTGGAAAAAAATAACAGTTTGGTCTTCTTCAAATAATTATTAAACTTAAAATGTTGAAATTGTTTGGTGGGTTTTTTTTTACATAGATAAGTGAAAGAACTGCATTATTATGATATCTTTAGATTAATTTGTGATCCATAGCATTGAGGATCTGTCAACAAATTAATCCATGGAACTTTTAACATCAAAAAAAAGCTTTGTGCAGCTGAGCCTAACTGTTATTCTTAAAGAAGTGATAGATCCATTTTACCTGATGTCATCTATTTTTAGAATGTTACATATTAAGACAAAACTATTTGAGCCGCCCCATGACAAAACCAATATAATGTGTTTGCGACCAGCATGGATCCAGACTAGCCTGCGCATCCGCGCAGTCTGATCAAGATCCATGCTGTTTGCCGTCAGTTTCTCTACTTGTAATAGGGTTTGTAAGCGAACAGCATGGATCTTGATCAGACTGCGCGGATGTGAGGCTGGTCTGGATCCATGCTGGTCTATAAACGCACTATGTTGGTTTTGTCACGGCGCGGTTCATTTTGTATTAACAGGTAATGAACATGGTCGAGCTTTCAGAGACCTTAACCTTGAGAAAGAGATTCATCAGTTGACACAGCGTATGGGTATAGGTGCCCAGTTTGGTGGTAAATATTTCTGTCATGATGTCAGGGTGGTCAGATTGCCACGTCACGGAGCATCGTGCCCCGTCGGTATTGGTGTGTCATGTTCAGCTGACAGACAGGTATGACATAGATATGTAACACATTACTTACCTTCTAGATTTATTTCTATCGAAAGCAGCTTACATCCAGGTCAATGGCAATTTTTGTGAAAATTTAAAATTGAAAAATGAAAACCTTTTGTCAAGTTTACAAGAGAGTTAATTAACATGGCCAAATGTACTTAATATGAACAGAAATTGCCTATAACCTGTCTAATTGTGTAGATATATCCCTTCTGTATTAGTTATCTGCCAGACACATGATGGTAAAACGGCAAATTTTGTCATATTTTGCATTATACAGAGGCTCTTTTGAACTGTATTTATACATTTTCAAACTGTTAATATAGTAATTTTTCTTAAATATGATTTTTTGAAACTTATTTTATTGATCTGAAGGGATACTGGTTTTTGTTTGACAATAAAACATTAGTTGTTCTTTTTAATGTAATAAGATAAGGAAGTTGATAATAAATGTCACAGAGCTTTTATTTAACAGTTTGACTGAATGATAAAGACAGTCCCACACTGCTATGGATTCAAGCCCCACAAAGGACTTAGGATCATTCAGTGTTAGGAGGTGCAGGTTGGGAAGCTATCTAGCTATCTTACAGGGGGTCGGTGGTTTTACTGAGGTGCATATGCTTGTGCTTCAAATAATGCATGAAAAGGCACCTGAGGTCTTCTTTAACAAGAAATTAACAAGGTCAATATGACTTAAAATCTAACATAAAGAAGCAATATATGCTGTTACTCTATGTTTGTGTATGTTCTATATTTAGATAGTAGGTAAGATCAGTGAGGAGGGAGTGTTCTTGGAACAGCTTGAAACTAACCCAGATAAATATCTACCAGAGGTTGAAGACAAAGATTTAGGAAGCGATGTTATAAATGTAAGTATACCGAGCAAAATATTATTTTATTCAAAGAGTTCAATAAATTCAGTAAAAAAGATACACAAATTTGATATTCCTTTTTTTTAAACCCTATCAAAAAATTTAAAAATGTTGAAGTAAAAAGAGTCCCTTTTTTTATTGCGCACCCTTTCAGTAAATAATGGTAACATTTAGCCCGTCTTTACACTATGTTTGTATTACGCAAATGAGGTCACATAAAAAAAATGCATGGCTGTGCAATACCATTTTTACAGAGTCGCCAAAGCAGCATAAATTATATACTATTCTAGTGGTTTACTTACTTTAAAAACTGTCTATTATCCGCAGGTTTTTTCGTACAACATTGCAAGGGGTTACAAATCATATAATGTCAATTATAAGATATATAAGGGACAAATTATTTGTGTAACAAAAACTATAGGTAGAACTTTGAACTTATCACTAGGTATGATAAAGTTTTGTAAATTGTCAACTTTATATTTTATAGGTTGATTTGAACAAACCAATGTCAGAGGTTCTCAGTTTATTAGATCAGTATCCAATCAGAACAAGGCTGAATTTAACTGGTACGCTGATAGTTGCACGAGATATTGCCCACGCTAAGTTAGAAGAGAGATTAGACAGTGGTGAGGGTTTACCGGAATATTTTAAACAACATCCGGTATATTATGCTGGTCCTGCTAAAACACCTGAGGTAACATAATATAATTATTATATCAATGTTTCTTATGTTTTGCCATGATTTTAATCATGATAACACGTATATCACTATATGAAAAGTTGAGGTTCTTTGTATAACAAAAGAAAAAAGAAAAGACTGTTATTTTGTTTGTTTATAAGAGGTAATGAAAAAGTTCAATATGCAGAAGTTAAAATGTTATTCAATCTGTTGGAATCAGTGCCCCATCTCACGGATGGACTGGCTACAATGATGGCTACCACTCGCTGTTAGCTTTTATGTTTATTTATTTTTAACAGTATACTAATAAACAGCATTTGCTGTATTTGTGTATTTTGTACATGCACTTATGTCTACACCTCTTTGACAGTCACCTGAATTCTGGGACATTATTGCATGTACTGTTTTCCTGATTTATATTTTACATCATGATTTCACTTGGTTTATTGTTACAAATGTAATCATTTGAATAGATAGGATTTATAACAGACTAAGTCTAATATCTGATAATTTGTTGTATAAATTAAGATATTTATTAAGAGTTTAAGGTAATATTGATATACTTAAATGAATGATATATAATATATATACTTAAATGAATGATTAAATATATATGAGGTATATATGATTTGTAGGGATATGCTAGTGGATCATTTGGACCTACGACAGCAGGACGTATGGACAGTTATGTTGAGAAGTTTCAAGCTGCCGGTGGTAGTATGATAATGTTAGCTAAAGGAAACAGAAGTAAACAGGTAAATGCACAGCAACTCATTAATAATTTTACAATATTTTTACTGGATAATAAGTTCATGGCAAAATCAAACTTAAAAATCAAAAGCCCTTGTTTCTGTGAATAAAAAACATTACACTTATTGCTTAGTACCGGTTGGTCACAAGAATGGATTCGAGAGTTTTTCAATAAACTTATAGCTTCCTACATAATCAAACTAAAATTATAGTCAACATCACTAATCTGCGTCATCACTTACTTCATGGTAATGCCATATTTCCATGTGAATAGTGTAAACATTGGTCAAAATTGACATATTTTAGTCATACATCTGAACAATAAAGTTTTTGTCCAAAACATACTAAATCTATAGATTTTTTCATAGAACAGAACAACAATTTACAAATTTCTGTAAAAAGTCACAATAGTCCCTTAAAATGTATGCATACGTCTGAAACAATTATCATAATCCATTTTCTTAATGTTCCTGATTATAAAAAAAAAATTGAGGTAAAAAGTAAAAATAGTTATAATTTTTAAAATTTAGCAAATTTAGTAATTTTAACTGAAACATGAAAAAACTAGAGTGTAACACCCTTTAACCATCATTTAAATGATGACATGGTGTTTTCATAATGGTTGACCTATGGTCTACGTCTGGCCCATTAAATCTGATTTTGATTGAATATATTAATATTTCCTTGTGTCATACAGCAGAAAGTACTTTAATGTTTCAGCTTATAAATTTTTGTTATACCATAATTTCATTATTTGTTTCCCTTCTTGTTTCAAAGCGTTAAGTACCATCAACTAAGAAAAGCACAGTATAGTATAAACTAAAAGTAGTAAAAAATTAAAATTTCCAATAACTCAGTCATTTATGACATGATGTTTATAGCAGTTTTTATTCTTAGCATTTTTACTCTATCATAATAATGTAATATGTTCATTGATATGAATTGATAAAGAATGCTGGTCAATTTAAGAAGATATAGTAAATCAAGATTATATTTTTATCAAGATTATATTTTCAATTTAATCGAAAATATTTAGAAATAAGTGAATAAGTGTAATAATTTTATACACTATAAATAGAATGATGTAATTTTCAATAAATAGAATAAAACTTTGAAGATTAAGTTAAAAGATACGTGCCTGTTTTCTCCAGGTTACAAAAGCATGTAAGAAGCATGGAGGGTTTTATCTTGGTTCTATTGGTGGCCCAGCTGCTATTCTAGCCAAAAATTGTATACACAAAGTGGAACAATTAGAATATCCTGAATTAGGTGAGTGTACATGATAATTTAAATATAATACATTATAATGTTGTATATTTAATGTGTATGAAAGAAAGACATATATAGTGATGGTATTTCTTGTGATGAAAAAGTTGTACAAATTTTACTCTGAAGCAATCCCTAACCTTCCCAGTACATTGTCTTGGTAAAGAATTTGCAAGATTTAATGAAGACTTGAGTAAAGCTATATTGATGTCTTATAGACCAGGACATTCAGGATTGTGTGGGGAATCTGGTGATTGCTTGCTAAACATCCGGGGAATACATATCTCAGAAGAAGGACCTCTGTTTTAATTGTCTGAGGAACTGCTGTTTCAAATGCTATTTCAAAAATTCAACTTGTTCTATTTAACATACACTTCAATATCCTCTATATAATGCATGACATCTCTAAATTTTCAATTTAAAGATTCTTGTGCCCGAAGAGAAATTTAAATGTTAAATAAACACAGTATTGGCACAGAAGAATTTGGGGAAAAACATAATTTTCTTGTAATTATGACTTGTTGCACAAGTTAACTCCCATGTATTATATACATTTTATATATAGAACTATCCTGTAACGAAAGTGCTAGATATTTGATAAACAATTTAAAGACTTAGTGAATGTTTTTACTGCCAACATTAATTCAAATGAATTTAAGTTCATCTGAGCACTTCTGATCACAAAGTATTCAGATGTGAGTTTTTTATCACATGATGTGTATGTAAATATGTAACAAGTGATCCAATTCAGAAGTTTATAATTATCATTTCAGGGATGGAAGCAATATGGAGGGTGGAGGTTCAGAATTTCCCGGCATTTATTGTTGTTGATAACAAAGGAAATGACTTCTTTAGTGAATGGCAGGTGGAATAATAACCTGTTAATGACCTGTATCTATGACAGGATATATTAGCTTATTGTTACATAACTTAAAGGATTAAAGCTGGTCTATGAACACTGATAGTGCTCCATTGATAATTCTGGCTGATGTTGAAATTAGTGCTTATTTGTAATAAACTATTGGAGAAAACAAAAAGTGATGACATATTGAATATGTGGTTGTAATGTAAACATTCAGTCTAAGAACAAGTACATGTATTACAAATTTTAAGATGTGGTAAAGTATTTGAATATTATAACTACAGTGTTCAGCTATATTTAGCTATCTGTTAATAAATATGAATGAATATTTAAAAATAAATCAATGGTCTTACAATTTTGTCACATAATTATCACATTGTGAGTTTCTATATATTTCATTTATTTGAAGGATTCTACAGACTTTATTTGTGTTTGTTATTGATTTTTTAATCACATGTTATTTATAATGTATCAATGTTGCTATGAAAAACTGCACGAGGGTCATACAAAAACTCTTGTCATTAGTGTCTGTTTTTTCTTAAAAAAATACTATGTTTTATCCAAATTATTTCTATTATAAACTTTTCCCAAGTCGCCCAATACCAAAACTCATCATTGTAGCTTTTGTAAAGAGATGAATATTATTTTTGTATCTGATTGAGGAACTGAGAAATGAAATGGCTAAGAGATAATTTGGATTCATAATCTCAGAGGGCATTTTTTTAGCCTTTTGTGCACTGTAAGACGGACAATTTAAAGCTAACTACCTTTCTCAAAGATAGAGATGACCTAACAATACAACACATGTGGAAGAAAGCATTTGTGTCAAATCAGTGTCAATATTTCATGGAAAATTCAACAATTTTCTGTTTTGAATCAACATCTATACCCCAGTATGGTATTTAAACCGGATTGATCTACAAGTGGCACATTTTCCTTAAAAAATTCAAATATCAATAAAAACAATAGAAATGTTTTGTTTTGATATTTTTATGAAATATTGCTTGAAAAATGAGTAAGTAATAAATCTCTAAATGATTTACTATTACATGATGAAATATATAAGACAGAGTTCTTAGATTGTTATTATCTCCTGTTATGTAATGTTGGATCATGTAAACTCACACTTGCCAACAACTGCCAAATATAATTCTTTAATGTTTTGTTTCTGATACTAAATACTACGAACATAATTATTTTATGTTTTGCAGACAGAAGCAATTCACCTTATAATAACTATGAATTGCAGTCCTAGTCATTTTACCATGTGACCTAGTTATTGTATATAACTGCATATAATTCAATATATTTTAAAGCAAAATGTAGTGAGTGTTTTTATAGCTTTTGCAACCCCATCTTCTTTTAGGGTTTTCATCATTTATTTTAGATAAAACTAAGGAAGCCCATTTGTAACAGAACTTTTGGTAGGACCTTTTTATACAGTTCCATCAAGTGATGGTTGTTACGGTTTTTGGCATTCAAGTAAAAAAGTAAATTATTCATCATAACTTCCAGAATGGACAATACTTGTGGGAGATTTTATTTCAACAAAAATGGCTTGGGGTGAATTGTCTGAGGGAACGACTGTCTGTAAATTGTTTTTATTAACTATCTAGTACTGAGAAAATGACTAAAGACCTAATCAATGTAAAGACATACATTGCTTCTAAAATTAAACAATACATAAAATGTGTATTCATTATTATATATTGTAAACCTTGTTTAAGTCTCTAAATGTATACTGTATGACATTTATTTATGCTCTTTGTCATAATCTTGAAAGATCTTTTTAAGGAAGTGGCCTGATAAAGGCTCTATAATTGTAAAATGAGGGAGAAATATAAATATTGTTAGCTATGAATGAAAATCTACAACTGATACCACAAAGTTTATATCTGCATTCTGAAATAGTGCACAACTGCACATGTTAATCAAAGCACAGAAGGCGCTGAATTTGTTTGGGTCTCAGAATGTAAGAAAGGTGCAGGTTGTGAGATTATATGTATAGTGCCACCAATGTTTTCCAGCGTTTTAATTGTAGTAAATTGGCTATAAGACTAATTGCAACACTGATATTCATTCCAATGTTTATTTGACTTTAACAATTTGAAAAAAAATGAGTTACTTTTACTGGGATTTGAACTCCAGACCTCTCACTTTCTAAGCGAGCCCGAAAACCCTTCAGCCACGGTGAATTTATATACTTAAGGACAGTGAAAACGCACGGTCGGGATAATTGCATTTTAACAAGGAAAATATATTTCTTTTAAATATTTTTTCACAGTTTCATAAAACCGAATGCATTCCGGTCATTTAGATACCAACATTATGAAAAATGATTGCATTTTAATAAAATTATTGCATAATAAAGACAGTACCCGGAGAATCAAAAGTAACACTTTTGGCTAATTGTGATAAGATCACAACAGAAAAACAGATTGAACAAAATAATGGTTACTTTTTGAAATGAAATTATTTATTTTTTTAAACTGTTAATTATAAACTTGTTTTACACACCTTTCTAGAAATGTTAGACACAAACGAGCAATTAAAATCTTTATGAAAATTAATATTAAACTATGCCAATGGTCAGTTTTAGAAAACGTAAAAGCTCACATGGAAATTGCATATTCTCACTTTTCCTCTATAAAACGGTGATAAATTTCAAAACACTACTGAAGACTTGCTAGCAAATTGTATGCAATGGTTCTACAAAGAAACCATTACCGCTGGGTTTATTCAGGACAGATTCAGCCTGGTCTATCTTACAAACAAAGCGCCAATCGTTTTGGTGTCCATCGGTCTACAATTTATGGGCTTCACCAGCGTTTCTGCACTACACTACAGGCCAAATGGCGTCAGACTATCCGCGCCGTAAGATCTATGAGGCGACGATGTACATCTGTAAGAGACGCTGATGGAGGACATTGTCGTTTCTCAAGATCCCGACGGTGACATTACGAATAGACATTTATGAGTGAATTTGTATTGGATTTTCATTTTGGTTTTTGCCATTCCTCTGAAGAAAAAGTGTGATTTTGGGATTTTCACCTTAGGTTTTTCGATTTACTGGTGTCCATTTGATTTCAAACATTTTAAATTATTTTCAGTTGTTAAATGTGTTTTGTATTAAAGTAATGATATATATCTAACTGAGTCGTTAGTGTTTATTTTTCATGTAATAAAATACATATAGTGCGGGCGTGCGTTTTCATTGTCCTTAAGTATATGTGAACGGGCTGAAGAAAACCATATTATTCTAAATTAGGGCTTGTAACGACTTTAACTGTTGTTTAACACAGATGTAAATAATCCTGGAGCTTACTATAAGCATTTATATTTATAAAGAATCAAAGGGCTGCAAGTTCTGTGGTATTTTCTGATCTTTGCAATCTAAATCGTACTGTATATCTGTATGCATTTTCCTGTATAGGTTTATTTTTATGTAATTTAATTCATTTTGCAAGGCACCAGAGTTTGATACATACGGAATTCTGCATAATTAGAGTTGCATCAAAAAATCATTTATGTTCATTTTTTACGACAGCCACACTTTATCCTTGCATATCATGGCTACTTCCTTAACAAAAACACTTAAAAAAAGAATTTAACAAAAAAAAAGTTTCCTCGACTGGGATTCGAACTCGAGACCTCTCACTCACTACGCTACTGAATAATATCAAGTCATTCTAAATTTAGAACTTCCATTGCATTTCGGGTTTGTAATCCTTATTAATTTCGAGGTATTTTGTTCAGGGTAAACCTGTTGTTTAAAATTGAAGTAAATATTTTAGCGAAAATCCTCTCGCCCAAACAGTCCGACATGTAGAATCTATATATTCCACTACTCGGTTTGTGTAGTATTCGGTAATAAATAGTATTTTCATTGATAAAATCATATTCATCCGCGTAATTTGTGATTGTGCATTTATTAACAATTCTATAAGCCAACGCTATTGTTTAACTTTAAATGCGTTGTAATTTGTTGGATACTTGTAACAAAATAAAATATTTCTTTCTTTTAAATCGCTAGTTTTAAGCTGTTTTGAGAACTACTTGTTGTTAGGTTTGTTGTAAACTTCTGTGTCAGAGATTGAATGTCCGCTTTGTATTTAGTTATTTTCGATCAGAAAATACAATAAAACAATATTAGAAATCTTCAACCATTCGGGAATTACTTTGCTTGAAAATTGATGCGCCTGTCTTTGACCATCTTTACGCAGTGATCTCCCCTGAATTTTTCGGCTTTAGTGTACATACAAAAGGGAAGTAACCGCTTCAAAAAAGTGGACTACTTTCGGCATTTGCAATTAACAACATTAGACTCTGAAATTTCGCTACCATTATTTGTTTGGTCTGACGACCCAAACAAATAAAAAATGATTGCTTTCGAAAATCAAGTATTTGTATGAAAGTCATTGGCTGCCAAGAAAAGAAAATGGATATTATGAAAGTTGGTTACTAGTCAATTCAATATTTTATTTGCAATAATCAGCATACAAAATGCCTCTGGCAAAGGTTAACAAACTACAATATATATACAAATCACACATGCATCAAATTACATATAATTGTTATACAATTGTTACATCATTGCGAAGCTGATTTGGAGAAACAGTAAAGTATATGACATGCATTAACTTACATATTAATTTCATTTCTTTTCAAAAATG